ACCGTCAGTATTTAACTAACCTTATGCAAGACTTCACTGCGACCAATTCAGAAATTCGGAGTGGGTTTCTCCCAAGCCTAAACCGTCCAATCAAAAGTCCTCGGACAAATCGTCAAACCTCCCTACTACGTCACTAACCTCACATCCACAATTTTTCTAAACGAACTGTTCCATTCCCGATTCGAAATGTTTTACCCTAATCTCTCGATGCATCCTAACTATATTGTTCGAACCCTGTATACACATTCTTACCCATGTCGGCTTAATTATCAACGGCCTCGAAACCTCCTTGCCTCTTAACCCGTCACATCGAGTGCAGCATTGGCTTATTTTTCTTGGCATGCCTTCCGGGTGCAGTGCTGGCATTAGCGTTAGTGTTGGGATCGTGTAATAAAACGGTTTGTGAACACATCTGTAAAATAGTAGGAAGTGCTATTTACTTTACCTGTAAAGTAAATAAACCGGACCAACAGTTCGGCATGACACAACCGTTGTGCGGGTTTAGCCTATACTAAGTTGATGTAAAAATCATAAATATCCAATAATTATTGAATAAACGCTTCTTTCCATTTAATGTTACCTAATAATCGGTTTCTAAATCATTAAAAAATTCTCTTTAAAACCCTACTTAAAATGTATGCGTATTTATACTAATATTTTATTAGCTAATATTTATTTGCGTGTTTTCAAACCTCACTAAGTACTCTTCAGCTCAGAAGCCTCATGACTGAATGCTATTGAGTGATTACTGATTTATGTTTAGCTCAAATCTGTGCATGCATGTAGATACATAAACGCATGCACATAGTTCTTTCAGTCGCTTCTCACAGTTGTCACGATCCTGGGTGGACCGCGAGTCAAGGAGGAAGTCAATCCCTTCAAATCGAAAGGATCCCGGAAGGGCAAAGTCAGGTGCTTTGAGCCGTCAACTGTCCGTAAACCGAGTTAATGAGATTTAGAGAATAAAATTTAAGGCAGGCAAAAGAAATACTTTCAATTTAGTTAATATTCTTGGTTTAATTTGTGGTGGGATTATCAATATTTAAATTTCAGTTACAATTCATTTGTAACCGAGGATTATTTTTGTTCTTTCTATTCTCCTAATCTTTTATTCTACTCTTTCTACTCTCTAATTCCACCTCCGTTGGTAGGAAACCGGCGGAGAGAGAGAGAGAGAGAGAGAGAGAGAGAGAGAGAGAGAGAAAGAGAGAGAGAGAAAGACAAAAACTAAAAGCAGAACATTTGATTCACAGCAATGAAGCTTTTTTCAAAATCTAATTTTAGTCGCAATTTAATGATCATAAATCGTTATTTAGCGATTTAAAAAATATGATGTTTGGTGTATTAATTTCATTATTGGTTAAGATAAAACGGAAAATGTTCTATGACGCAGAATAATCTAATTGGGTAAAATTTAAAAAGATAAATCTACAAAATACTGTTTTTTTGCATATTTTAATAAACATTCTGTAAGCAAAGAAGTTCAAAAAATGCTCAAAACGTGGATTTGAACTCATTGTCGTGATTCTAGCGTTATGAAACCATTAAATACGGACGTTCGCGGAAATCGGTGTAAATTAATTTTTTGACTGATATTCCTAGCGCAAGCTCATCATTTTTCTCAATTCCTAGGAGACTGCTTTTCATGGTTGTTAATTCATTTGAAAGAAATTGACAAGTGTATTTTATAACTTCAAACATTAAAATCGGTCTATCATTTCTTATGTATTTCATTCTATGTATTTTCTTATAGAAATCTTTTATATATTTTTATGACACATACGTCTTCAAAGCTACGTTCCTTTTCTTTCAAATGTTATGTTTGACGTTAAAATTCTTTTAGCCGTTTTTGAATTAAAGCCGTTTCAATCAGATATTCCGAGAACGACTTCTTAAAGATTGAAAAAATTCTAAGTTCAAAAAATCGATACATTTAACTTTAAACAAAAACTTATATTAAGGGGTCTCTAAAGGTGCTAAAACAAAATTTCACTTAGTTTCTCGAAAAAGTTCATTTTTAAAATATTTGGTTTTTAATAATATTTTGCTTATTGATAAATGTTGATAGTTTTTACCATATTTTTATTTGAATCTACATACAAAATGCTGCAAGATATTCACATAGTAGATTTGAGTAAGAAGGACGGCGAAATAAAGATATTAAAAAACAGAAAATTTCATACGTGTCTGATATTCTGGAGTGTAAAATCATCAAAAAATGTTTGGTCCAAACCCGTGACACATCAATCTGGTTGTCCCATTGTATCTAAAGCCGGGAACAAATTTACCCGATGCAACGCTATGCGATGCTACCCAACGCAAATCCAAATTCCAATTTTCCATAAGAATGTAATACCCCCGTGCACATCTGCTCGATGCTACGCAACGCTACCCTACTCTACGATCTGCGATCCCCACTGTCCAGATTTTCGTCGGGTAGCATCGAGTACAATAGAAGACAAAAGAATCGGACGTTCATATTTTTATTCAAACTATATGTATTATTGTCGTTGTATTAATTACAACATACTTATTTTAATATAAACCAAGTTAACTGAGATCAAAAATTCATTCGTTTTTTTAATTAATTTTAATGGTTTGCTAGAAAATTGATCAAAACACCGGAATACCTTTTTTTGATATAATGAATTTAACTAACAATTTATTACACGGTTTTGCTCATAAAATTTAACTAACAATTTATTGCATGGTTTTGATCATAAAATTGCATCATTTTCGTCAAGTAGCTACAGAACAGGACACTCATATTTTGTGTAGTTTGTTCAAACTAAGTGTATGTAATTTTTTCGTTATATCAATTACAACATTCCTATTTTAATGTAAACCAAATTAAACGAGAACAAAATTTCATAAGTTTTTATAAAAATTATTTAATTATGATGGTTAGGAAGAAAATTTATCAAAACACCGGAATAACTTTATTTAAAACTCATTAAATTCACTAGTTTCGTGGTCCGCATGACCAAGTAATATCTTACAATTGATTAAGGTTTTAAGTTGAGATAAAAAAGAGAAAAATGGCAAAAAGGAGGGAAATTCAAAAGCTGGGGTTGAGATGGGAAGTTAGTGTGATAGCTCAAGTGGTAGAGCAGCGGCGTATCTAGCCGAAGATCGTGGGTTCGAATCCCGCTCGTGCCATTGACTTTTTTATTTCAACTTAAAACCTTAATTTATTTAAAACAATTAAGTTTAACAAACAATTTATCACATGGTCGTGCTCATAAAATTTAATAATGCATTAAGAACAAAAGAGGCGTTGCGATTGCAATAGTGATTTGTGATACACGCTGTGTGACTGTACGTGGCGTTTGCTTGACGTTGCATAGATGTGCACGCCCTACCAAAACGTTACAAGAGGTCGGGTAGCGTCGCATAATTCTCCCCGCATAAAAGTTACTTCTATCCCGCCGGCTTTCAACGTAAACCAACTGTAGCATACTATAAACACATGCCACTAAAGATAAGAAAACATCTGAAAAGTCTTTTATGACATAAATATGGATAAATTTTGTTCATTCCCCAATCGGAGTCGCCGTACAACAGACCAACTACATATACATATATTACAACTGTTGGCTTTGGCTAGATAGAAATGCGCCACCCTGAATGTAATTATTGCAAATTCAGTGATGACGATGTTGTCAAACCTACGCATTTCGTCTGTTTCGCGGCACTAAAAGAGCGTCTGAGAAACGGCCACCACCATCAAATATACTCATACAACATAAAGAAATAAAGCATTAATTAATGCTGCATTAATTAAGCATTAATTAATTAATGTATTCGTTTATAAGTAATATCAGTAATTCGTGCTGAAGAGTTTTACAAGCAGCGATCAAGGCAAGTCTTTTATAAACTCATTTCTCTAAATTATAATTTATTTGCAAAAAAATATAAAAGCTCATATAAATAATTTTAAATTTGGTTGTTACCGATTTTGATGCGCCTTTTCTTTCTGGATCGGTCTGTCAGATGCAAGACAATTTCCCATATTCAGAGTGTCAGTACATACACGAAGAAGGGAACCAAAGTTCAGGTTCATCACCCGCATATAACATGAAAAATCTCACAAGATTAATATTTTTTATCGTTTATTATTATTAATTATTTATTAGGTAGACGATAAATGGATAATTGTAATATATTTAAAAATTGAATCAAGCGTAAATAACGCAGCAAAGAGGTAACCATCAAATGGAGACTCCTACTACTTTCCCCCTTAAAAACTTTTAAATTCTGCTTTAATCACATACAATATATATAAATATATATGAAACGTTGTATTGTTTGCGTGTTGGTTCTTTGGCTAAACTACTTTACTGCGACGATTTCTGAGGCGCTACTCCGTTCTTGTCTCGAGACGAGGATTGATGGACTACTATTTCGAAATTAATTGTAAAACCTTATAAATTAACGTCCCGAGAGATTATCTCCGGATGCGCATACATTACAAGCATGCAGGGACGGATAATTAGTACAATATGTAACAAATATGTCAGGGTTAGAATTAATCTAACTATAATCCTATGGCAATTAGTTATGTAGATGGGCGCTCGTGGTCTTGGACCCCTCGTTTCAAATGTTCAACTTGCCTATCGCGCCGATAAAGTCATCAGGTAGTAATTTGCATTAGTTTATAATTAATTAAAAAAGAAAATTTTACTATTGAAGATCATCTCGTTTGATAAACTAGAACAGCATCAAGAAGGACAATGTACACTGAGCCTAAGATAAAAAGTGGCATTTCAACCAGCATTATAAATATAATTTAATTAAATAATTTTTTGACAATCAAAATACTTTAATTCAAAGTTGATTAGATTTAAAATTTTGTTTAAAAAATAAATAAATTGTTAAGTCCACTGTACGTTTTACTGACAAATAAAGAGAGTTTCAAAAGATTTCCCCTTGAAAACTTATTTCAAACCGCAACTTAACATAATTTTAAGAAAAAATGTAAGCGTGCAAGTATGATTTATTATAAATACCTACATATGATAAAAGACCATTAGTAGCAAAGTATTCTTTGACATAGTTGTTTTTTCTAAATCCACGTTTTAATATGACAAATTAAATACATTTATTGCTTTGAAGGAGACTGTCTACAAGATACTACAACACGATATTTCAAGAGATTACTAAGAGAGATCTTCCAAACTACAGTTATTTCCAGCATTTTCAAGTATGGCCAACATCCAGGTTTCGGAGATGAATCAAGGTCTGTAGCAAATAAATACCATGATAGTAGTCATAGATTCCTGATTGTTCTGAACTTCCTCATCGATATCATGTAGTAGTGTCACTCAACGAAAAACTATTAACTTTTTAAAAATCCTACTGTGAGGTGTTTCATCGAAATCATCTGTAATGTACTTTATTTAAACATATGAAGTACGTATAATTCAAAGAATAGACTTATTAAATTTTCATTTGGTTTATAGAATTTCCGAAGTGATCTTAGATGAAGAATTAAGTACGAATAATTTAGTTTTAACCCTCAGACGGTTTTAAACCATGAGGAATGTCTTTTTTGCTTTGTAATATATAATGCCGATCCGTAAACTTTGTATATATATTAAACAATAAAGACTTATAGTAGTAATTTAGTTTTAAAGCTAAAAAAGACTATTCGGGAGCAAAAACCCATTTTGATCGTTGAAGCTATAAACAAATTTGATGCTAAATAAATTGAATTTAAAACATTCCCATAGAAGAAAACTTTGGATGTAATTGATATAATGTTAAATTGTTATAGCAATTACAATTTAAGTAAATTCGAATAATTAAGGCTGCTTAATAGACAAACTGTTGATAAAAATATCAATAAAAATATGTAATAGCAGTCCGGTTTGTTTTCTGTTAGGTTTATTGTTTTAACATCGTTGTCTGACAATTTAAAATATTTGTTTAAAATATTAATACATTACAGTCCTCCTAGTCTCTTGCTCTATGTTTCAGTATGATGTTTGACCTTTTTGCCATTTTCAGGGGTGCCCTTATCTGTAATCGTAAAATCCTTGCATTGAATATTTTGCATTGATCGAACAATTGTCAAAATGAACTAGTTTTACTGGGTCCATACAAACAATAATTAATCAATTAATCAATCGGTCCAGTTGAAAAATAGACACCCTGGAATGTAAAAGGACCGTTTCGTTTTTTTCTTTACATAACAATCCTTTTCAAATTTTCCAAATATACACTGTGATATTTTGATGACTTATGCCCTTAGAAATTTGTAGTGTACGTTTCCTTCACACTAATGAACTCGTTGATACAATCGGAACTTATTCACACTTTTCGCCCTTCATGACCAAAAAGAAAATACTCTGTTATCGGGTTTGTAGTCAAGATAAACAGCAAGGTTTTGTTTTATTGCCAAGCTTTCGACTATATATTGTAGCCTTTCTCAAGGTGCTACAATGACAAAAAACGATTATCAATATAGTAATTCAAGAAGAAATACACATTTTTTGTTTAGGACTTACAAAAACAATGTCATAAATTGATAAATAGGCGAGCATAGGAAAATCTCTGTTTTTGTAAGTCCTAAACAAAAAAAAATGTGCATTTCTTCTTGAATTACTATATAGATAATCGTTTTTTGTCATTGTGGCGCCTTGAGAAAGACTAAATATATAGACGAAAGCTTGGCTATAAAACAAAACCTTGCTGTTTATCTTGACTACAAACCCGATAACAGAGTATTTTCTTTTTGGTCATGAAGGGCGAAAAGTGTGAATAAGTTCCGATTGTATCAACGAGTTCATTAGTGTGAAGGAAACGTACACTACAAATTTCTAAGGGCATAAGTCATCCAAATATCACAGTGTATATTTGGAAAATTTGAAAAGGAATGTTATGTAAAGAAAAAAACGAAACGGTCCTTTTACATTCCAGGGTGTCTATTTTCCAACTGGACCGATTGATTAATTTATTAATTATTGTTTGTATGAACCCAGTAAAACTAGTTCATTTTGACAATTGTTCGATCAATGCAAAATATTCAATGCAAGGATTTTACGATTACAGATAAGGGCACCCCTGAAAATGGGAAAAAGGTCAAACATCATACTGAAACATAGAGCAAGAGACTAGGAGGACTGTAATGTATTAATATAACTGAGAACTGTTATAAGATAACTGAGAGCATTGAATTAGCTGGTTGATAAACTACATCGCCAAAAATAAAATAATCGTTATCTGTAAACTTAAAAATGCTTTCGCTGTTTTCCGTTGCTTAACAAGTGTATATTACGAAGGCGAATCCGTTTTCGTTCGACTGATATACTTGATAGAAAATGTTAAAATTTTGCACATTCGCTGACTAGCAGCAACTTATGACATCACTCAAGACATTCAGGGAGTATTTAGAGTTATGTTGATTTATATAAGCTCAACTCCGCACAAGTATGTACAAACATGTTTGTACAGAATTTAGCTTAAGGCTTCTCACAGACATCGGGTACCCTCAGACCTCTGTCACAAAAGTGTGGCTCAAGTGGTTGTCAAACGCTAGGTCATTTCAGCCCCCTTCACGTGCAGTTTTAAAGCCTAGACACTCTCATTCATTCTTAAATACATTCTTTCCAATTTACATACGATTCGCACAAGAAAAGTGGTGAGTACTCGACGTTTATAACTAATATAATTGAGGGTTCTTTGTAATATTCCACCACCGACTCTCTTTTACTACAGTTTTGCGCTAATAAATACATTCACTCTCCATATACGCAAAAGGAAATATTAAACGAGATATCTATCAGTACTAACCTTTTCACTCATAGTTAATGAATGTTTATTTACATGATTGTACAATAGTTGTACAATACAAGAGTGTAGGGAAAGTGACGTACCACTCTAATTTCCTATTATAAAACGTTGTTTAGCATACAAGATTTGTAACGTGGAAAAAATATGTACAAAAAACCACAAAACAGAAGTTCACACATAGAAATCACTAATCATTAATCCCACTTGTAATAAATACGGAAACAAAATTAATGAAAATTTAATTATTAAAACGAGAAATTATTTTGTGTGCCCAGTAAAGAAAACCTTTTTAAATTTACTTTATCACTTTTCGTTGTTGTTTTTTGTTCTTCACGCTTCTTTTGAAGATCAATTGAATAAAGTATGAACCGTTATTTAAGTTCATTGACATTCTTTCCAACACCTCCTATCTGATCCTCAAATCCTATTTTTCCGACAGATATTTTCAGGCTTGCGAAGACCATGCTCTCTCTCACGTTTTCCTTGTTAGTGCTGGAGTCCCTCAAGGGAGTATCCTAGGTCTTATCCTAGGATCATTACCCCATATAATAATATCTCATCATCATTACCCCATGATATTCCTACATCTCCTCAACAGTTATGCAATACATTTGCTGATAACGGTCGAAAATTCGGGCACAGTTGCAAGAAGCATTAATTCGCCGAAAAACACGATTTTTTTGTATTCTTCTCTCTTATTTTGAAGTCTCTTGAGTTTAATTCTTGTAGAGATGTACTAAGGAGGGTCGATTCAGTTCACAATAAGCTTTAATACGAAAAAAAAAGTGATTTTTGTTTTCTGCTTATGTAGAGTATGCTTGATTTAATTCTTGCACAGTTGAAAGCGTATTCGATTTTACCGATAACAAATCGTCACAAAAACGCGATTTTTAATTTTCTTTTTCCACTTTTCTTGCTTATTTTGAGGTCTATATGTTTAATTCTTGTAGAGTTCAACTAATGATAATCGGTACTATTGTGGAAAACCGCGACTTTTCATTTTCTTTTCGCGTTTTCTCCCTTACTTAGAGGTCTCCTGGTTCAATTCGTGAAGCTTTGGACACGGTATTGTTTATTTTTTAACAGATGCGCAAAACATGCTCTTAAATAATAGTTTTTCACGTTAGTTTTAACAATTAACTTCAGGGTTGTAAAATAAGATTGATCTCTATGCCGACACAAAACAAAAAAGATTATAGTTTTTGGTGATATTCATTCCAAAAAGGGCTTTTTTTATATATGAAAGTAGGTGCAACTGCATACCTACAAATGGGTTTTTTTATGCAAATAAAAATTATACGACCAAGATTTTCACAATTATAACGTAATAACGGGTTTTCTGCCCAAAATACAATGGATTATTATTAATTTTGGCATTTCATAATTTATTTAATCTTTTGAAAATATTTTATTTGTTTCGGATGAACATTTAATTATTGTTGAAAAAATTAATTTAAGAAAGAAACATTTAATTAGAAGCTAAAAAATAGCATCTATTTATAGCAAAACTACGACCAGAAACAATCATGATGGGAAACGGGGCAGGCGACCAATATGTCAATTACCCACAGTTGCTCAGGAACAGGCTGTACAAAATAGTAACATGGAACAATGTGGAAAGGGCATGGCTCAGACTCAAAAAAGAGGCTGTGGACGGAGCAAATTTTTCACTGCACAAAGGTCTGGAATACAGACTCAAAGAATCCTTTACTGGCTGCTTCCTTCATCACTTGAACAAGAATGAAGCAACAACTTCAGAAATTCAGCAGAAGAAACTTGACATTGCGCAGTATGTAACTCCCCCATTACATTTAATAACATTCATAGAAACAAATAATTATGAATCATACTGTTTTAATCATGTATTTTAATCCAATTTTTTAAAAATATTTTCACATATAAATTGAAAGTTAAATATAATTGTTAGAATTAGTTAATAAATTTAAAAATTGTAACTAACTCCTTTGTATACCTATGCCATTTAGTAATTATTGTATGTTAAATTTGTTAAAAAAATTATCTACTTAGTTGATCAATATCAAATGTATTTTCTACAAACAAATCAATACTTTTTGGTGACTAACTATGAACGATTGAATTTTATCTTAACGTCTCACTTCAATACCTCACCTTCCTTTTAAAAAATGAAATATTGAAGAATGTCTATAGTTTTTTTATTTTTTATTATAGGTTCCTGCTAAAAATCAATGAATTCCCAACAGTTTATCAAAGAAGAAGTGATTACACCGAAAATATTATGAGCCTCTTAATAAACACTGTGCAACAGAGCAAAAATGGCATTGTTACAGAATCATCCATTTTGAAAAACATGCCCAGCCTTCGACTTGCTGGGTCTAAAGTAAGCCCTTCACAAATATGTTTTAGCATGTTTCCTATTTACAATATTTCGTTCATTCTGCTTCTGCTATTTCAGATAGGAAGTATGGACTATACGCTGAAAGACTGCAGCGGGCTGGAAGCGCTGATCCTTACTGCAAATTACATTACTGACTTCGATGGTGTTGTCCTACCACAAAACCTCAAGCTTCTTGAGCTCTATGGAAACCTCTTGCAAAATATAGAACTTCTTGCAAAAAATGCACCCAAGAAATTGTTGTTCCTTGGTTTAGGACGAAATTACTTGAGTAAAGGTAATTCAATTAGAATTGTCAAATCTATGCTTATTTTTAAACATTATATGCATTACTATAGTGTGTATATTTATTGTTTATTATTTTTAATTAATAGCATCAAGTTTAAAACTTCTAAACAAATATTCATTTCTATGTTATTTGGATTTGAGTGACAATGATTTTGAAAATATAGACGACCTTATGTACAGCTTAAAAACTTTGAAACATCTCAAGTCTCTTTTGCTTATAGGAAATCCAATTTCTGTGAGTAATTGCTTATAAATGGTTTTAACCTAACATAATCAAATTTCATTTTCTTATTTGTGGAATCCAGGTGATCAGCAATTACAAATCTATTGTAGCTTCAAGCTTACCAGGTTTAGAGCTATTAGACGGTGTAGAATTGACAGGGAATGATTTAGATAAAACGCAAATACAAAACCAACCTGAAGAAGAAAAAGAAGCAGTGATTCAAGTTTATGGTTTCAGATTTTATGGAGTGCCAAAACCAAAGAGAAGATCCCAAGGCAAAAAGAATGTATGATACATGTAATAGTTATTATGTTTATTTCTGTAAGCCACTTTCCTTCTTAAAATTGATGAAATTTCTTCAAAATTTAAGCTAACATCCATAAAAGGCTTGGGATCTGAATTTCCAAGCTTCTTATTTTTGTAAGAATAATTATAATTTATATTAAAAAAAGAACTCATTCCAAAACAACGAACAAAATTTATACAAAATTTTTTAAAAAAGTCATAGAGAGTGATTTTTTAAATTTAAAAGTGTTTTGAATAAGAACAGTTACTTTAACTAGTTGATGTGTGTAATTCTGACTCTGTAATTTTTCATTTGGAACAAAAATAGTTAATAATAGAAAACATAAATAAGTAAACTAACATTATTATAAATTTCTCCATATGTGTTTAGCAGTTGTAATTGACGATGAAAAAGTTAGTGCCACGAGCAGGATGCAAACCCCACAATGATCGGTTCAAAATGCCCTGCCTTAACGCTGAAGGTCATGAGTTCAAATCCCACTCATGACACTAACTTTTTCATCTAAACCAAGATCTTAGATAAGCCTAGATAATTGAAATTTTTATAAATGGTAAATGTAGTATTGTTGAGGTAATATGTAAACAATTCTAATTATTGGAATGTTGCTATTTCAGCGTGGAGAAAGTTACTATCAACTTGAAATAGAATTCCCCTTGTTGGATGAAACATTAGCAGAGTATGAAGCAAATGTGCTAACTCATGAATTAAATGGAATTCCATTGCCAATCGTGCCAGTACTTGAAGAAAACACAAGACAGATAGAAGAACTTGTCAAACCTCTTGTGAGATCTCAATCAAAAAATAGTACCTTATCTCTCAAAGGTCCCAAAAAACCTGAGAAAAATGGCAGCAAGGCGAAACAACAAGAGCATGTATATATTCATGACTTGGGGGTGAAATACTGCAGTTACCTAGAAGGGGATGAGGAAATTTTTATGGCAAAAAAGTTCTGTTCACAAAAGGTGCAATGGGCTCCTGTTATAAAATTCCCAACTCCTGCAATAGAGGTAAAAGTCCCTCTGCAAAATATAAGGATGTTGAGAGACACTTTTAGGACAGTCTTAAATATTCGCTTGTACCGCAAAGAGGTAAATGATATTTTTTACCCCTAATTATTTTTAATATGCCATCAATGTAATTTTAATGTTTAGGAATATTATCCAGTTTCTGTGAAAAATAGTCGTGGCTCCAGTCTCCATGTAGGCCAAAAAGGTCGAAAAAGTGAAGCAGGAGGAAGAAAGAGCGTGGCAGGAGGGAGAAAGAGTCAAGCGGGACGAAAGAGTCAAGCAGGACGAAAGAGTCAAGCAGGACGAAAGAGTCAAGCGGGACGAAAGAGTCAGGCTGGAAGAAAGAGTCAGGCTGGCCGAAAGAGTCAAGCTGGACGAAAGAGTCAGGCTGGCCGAAGTGCTTCAATGAAAAGACGTCAAAGCAAGCAGCCTGGAGGAAAAGGTGTTAAAAAAGATGGGAAACACAATGGAAATAGAGACGATTCAGGAGAGAGCACTTTGGTAATAGAAAAATCATTCAGACAACTTTCTAATTTAAAATGGAATAATTAATTTTGTGGGGTTTTTACATTTAGATTACAGTAAGATATTTAGTCTGTAAAATACCAGTCCCACTACAGATGACAAACTGGTCAGAAGATTACATGGGTTACACATGGGATATGCGGGACTATTGTCTTGCTAAACCTTTTCCAGGATTAAAAGTAATAATCAACTCTTTTTTTTATCATCATACTCAGAATTGTAAATTAACACTTTATTTGTTATTTTAGAATGTGAATGTTGGTGTTAAAGTTAAAAAAAGTCGCAAAGGTATTTTCTTTATCTATATCATCTTTCTATACATCATAAATATTTACTTAAGCCAAATAATTACCTACTATGAATTTAGCCTTTTATATTTAAAGTTACTATCCACTTTGTTATTTCTTTGTAACTTCTACATTTATCCTTTATCTAAAGACAATTCGTTTAAACAGGAGGAGGCAAACAAGAAATATACATCCCTACTCCAAAATTTTTAACAGGCCACATCGGAGTTGGTATTAAAAGGCCTGGAACGTAAGTTACACCATTACAAGTGTTAGATCAAGGGAATCCTACACATTCTATAAAATATTATATTTTTAAATTGCAGCATTGAAAGGATGAAAGGAGCGACCAGTAAGTTAAACCTTAAAGGTACACGGGGAAGACCTTCAACCAAAAAACGAGGTTCGCATAGGCCATCATCAAGAGGATCAATAAAAAAAAGTAGAAGTCGTAGCATCAAATAGTCCTTAAAAAAAGTTGAAAATTCTTGATTACTCCACAAAATTTCTATTCTGAAATTTAATAAATTTATTTGAAAATTTTTCATCTGTCTATATATATAAGTGGAACTATCCATTCAGGTAATGTTTTGTGATAATACCAGTTTGATGATTTAATTAATTATTTTCTCTGACATTCAACCAACAATTAACCTTCTATTAAGCTGAAATTATAACATGTATTGTTAAATAAAATCTTACGGAGAAGAAGTGAACTCCTGAAGCCAGTTGCAGCCACCCATGAGAAAAGCAGGAAATGGCCAATGATGAAAGGAACCTACTGTGGAAATAAATATAACATTGCTCAAATTATTTTTAAAAGACAATACACCATACCACATACTGAATATTTAACAAGTGATTATTAATTTTTTTGTGTGTGGTGTTTAGTGACCGTTAGTCAATGATTATTCGGAGATCGTGAGATGCGGTCTGGTGTGACGTAGGTTTTAGAAAAACATTTTCTACGTTTCGATCTTTATTGAGATCATCTTCAGGGCCTGGGATTTATAAACATTGTTTAAATTTTACAAATACATGTAGGATGTGAAAAAATGAATTTATACAATGCTAGAAATTTTAGAAAAAAAATGAATTTATACAATGCTAAAAAAATTTTAGATTAAAAAAATGAATTTATATGATGCTAGAAAATTTTAGATTTATAAAATGAATTTATACAATGCTAGAAAATTTTAGATTCAATCAAAATATTTGCATTCACAAACACGCTGAGTGAGTACAAATACTTTGATTGTATCTAAAATTTTCTATCATAGTATAAATTCATTTAAAATTTTCTAGCATTGTATAAATTCATTTTTTAATCTAAAATGTTTTTAGCATTGTATAAATTCATTTTTTCTAATTTTCTAGCATCGTATAAATTCATTTTTTTATCTAATTTTTTTTAGCATTGTACAAATTCATTTCTTTTCTAAAATGTTCTAGCATCGTATAAATTCATTTTTTCACATCCTACATGTATTTGTAAAATTTAAACAATGTTGTTTATAAATCCCAGGCCCTGAAGATGATCTCAATAAAGATTGAAACGTTGGCATGATAAAGAAAATGTTTTTTCTAGAACCTACTCACACCAGACCGCATTTCACGATCTCCTAATAATCATTAATTTTTTAATTTTAAATAGAAAAATCGATTTCATCTGATCACTGAAAGTTTGATTAACATTCTCCGTTCATTTTAGAAATTGTCCAACTGAATTGCAAAAACACTGATAATTTGGTAATTATGAAAACCTAATCTGTGCCTCTTAAATATTTGCCATTTTTATACCATTGTGAATGGTTGTTAGATTAGCATGTGGGACATTAGCCCTCTTTCTCCCCAGTGGCAAGCCATGGAATATCACAAATTTTGTTTCTTGAAAAGGTATTTTTTATATTTTACATCGTGAAGTAGTTTCAATCTGTGTTTCATATTGAATTTCACTGCAAATAGTAAATTAAATCAACTTTTATTATTTTTATCAACTTAATTAATTAAACACAATGTTTTTTAATGAAAAATTGTGTATAATTAATTGAGTATATGTAAATTAAATCAGTATTTGATCACTATGTAATTTGAGTATTGATTTATTTCATTTGAGTATCAATACCTTTTGGCTAGTCACTCCTAGAGTCAGATCAAATGACAAAGATGGTAAAATTTCAATTAGCCTCTCAAGGAATACATTTTTTTCAATTTTGAAGATTATTTTAATATTTACCATAAATCTTTGAAGTAAATGATGATGTGGAGTCAAATAGTCTTTTTTTTGTCTTTCCACAAATTGTTAAGGGGTAATGAAATCCAAGAAGGTACAAAAAATGCAATAGTGCAAGAGACATTCTAACTCAGAAAGGTACATTTACAAACATAATATATTTAATTATATTAAACATGGTTTATATATTGAAAAGTGAAAAGCTTCCTTTTTGAGTTATGATCAATTATGGGTACCGTGTGTTAGGGATCTATGCTGAATACACCAAGGCATTTGGTAGAATAAATCATAAAAAATTATTAGATGGCCAAAAGGCATTGGAATTCTGTGCTTACAAGGCATATTTTTCAGTTATCTTGAATATAGAAAGGGAGTAGTAAAAGTATGGCAGTCTTGAACCCTTTTCCATTTCATCCGTGAGGAGTGCCTCAAGGGAGTGTCCTTGGGCTGATTCTTTAAAAAATCTATACGAAAGATAGCTACGATATGGTTATTACTTTGTTAGCGATGGGCAATGTAGTAACTAGTACAAATTATTTGGTAATAATACTGAATGAATACTTACCTTGATAACTACATGATAATTAACAATTACAAAAAATAAATAAAAAATAACATAAGATCATTTTTGAGCAGCAATGTTTTCTTGTGGGTATTGTTAATAATAAATACTAAAATTGAAAAAAGGCACACTTTGAAAAAAATGGGTGCATCCTGGGCAACAGAGTTTGAGTAACATGTGATGAATTTGAAATACTGAGATTTACGTGGGATCTGACTAGTGCAAAATCAAAACTAGCTACGAAATATCCCATATGTGACTCAGACGTACCTGTGATGTTGAGGGTTTATATCAGCCAACAGAAAATTACAATAAAATGGAAGGAGTTCGACAAATAAAACACAATGTAAAAGCAACAAATTTATTAGTACTTTTAAAGTATCCATGTAATTGTAATGCAAGAACAAACCATTTATTTATATATTTTTTCTTTAATACTTTTGCCTAATATGCTATTTTGTGATGTAAGTTTCTAAAAATATTCAAGTGTCATTCAACTTCAGCAAAAATGTAAGGCATTTATGCAACTGTGGAGTCCATTAAATTATTGTTTGTCCTGCAGACAAATCTCTATACTCTTAATCAACTTACATTTATAAAACATGGACCAATCAATTTCTACTACATACATATAAATTGTGAATGTTTTAGATTACAATTTTATAATTTTTTTTTAATTTTTTTAACAAATTGGCAACAATTTCTACACATCCTAAACATATATTGTAACCATTAACCAAGCAAATAAATTGCTTAACCTTAAAACTATAATATTTAACACCTAATACACATGTTTCTACACAACATGGAGACAGTCAATTAGAAATATTTTTCTTTTCTTCTTTATTAAAATCCCTGATTTATACATATAAATACATTGATTCATTGAAACACTTATTCCATTAAATTTGACATCTAAAGAACATCAAAAGGAGAATCTACCATTTTTATGAGTATACTGAGATATGAAATTTGTACATTGAATCTTTTTGTCTTCCACATCTAAATCATTTGGTCTGCCATGTTATGCATCACATAAAATCATTAACTAAATCATAACCATTCAGATCGCAACAGTGCCTACCACAACAAACCACTCCCTTGCGGTTATTACAAATATTATAAAATTTATATATATTTTTTTATATTACCCTTAAACCTATTCGTAATATACCAAAAAAAAACCTACCACTTTACAAGCAGCATTTTCCATTCAATTTCCATCCTTTTGTTAATATTTCTTTTTTATTTGTACATGTTTTTGAAAGTAACCCCAATTTTTACTACCAGCATTTTTACATTGGGTTTTTTCTCAAATATCACATTCCATATACTCTAAGCAATGAAGGACCTTAGCTAAAATTTTTTAAATATTTTTTATGAATACAATTCTAATTGCAATAAATTTGGATTAACTAGAAATGGCCATCACATGATAGTTAACATTATATATCAATCACATATAAGGTCATTAGAACAAAAAATCTGATAAATTTAGTTTTCATATACACAAACACATGTATTACAAGGTAATCAAAATATGCGAGACACTTTATTACAATTTGCCTAAAACAGAAAATTCAATTGGTTTATTCAATTTCATTATCAATTTAGATTACAATATGAATTAGCTAGAACACTTGGTCGTTTGTAACGATTCAGTGCATTCACAGGTACATTACGCCACATTAATTTTTTTTTACCTACATTCCAATGACCTAAATTTATATGACTAATTATGAACATCACGATATTTTTAATTCGCTATAACGCTAGAGGGATTTTTTTAAATACACCTTATTTGATTACAGCGAATGACTAATAGACAGAAACAAAATTCAATTTGCACTATCGGTTTCTTTTTAATATATATATAAAATCATATCCAATCTTTAAATTTTCGTTAATTGAGCAATAATCTTTATTTATAAAAGTTTTTTTTGTTTTTTTTCAATTTGCTACATATCGTATTGCTGTGTAAATTAGTTTGTACATTTTTTTTGTTTAATTACATTTATATTGTTTCAACAAAATTTTTTTTGCTACTCCATACATTAACCAAAACCCAAATTTTATTATTATCTAAAATATAAGCTCTATACAATTATTTTATTTTGTAACTTTAACAAACATAATATAGTCTAGATTAAATGAATACATACATACAATTTTAAATTTAAATGTTTTTCGGTATTGGATACAATAATGTTACTATTGTGAAAATGTGTATCATGGTCTTATTAATGGCCAGAATGAAACAAAACTTTAGTCTTTTAAACAGTTCAAATCAATGTAACAATAAATGGAATGTTGGAGTTATTAATTTAAAAATTAGTTTATATTTTCCATAATTTTTCGTTCAAGTTCTACGATTCTTATATCATTTATCTGTCAGGTACAATGATTTTTAGAATCAACTTTCCAACCTTTTTACGTGTTATTACGGGATAATTTTTTTTTTTTAATTTTTCCTAATTTTCTAACTTTTTTATGATTTTAATTATTTTATTTATATTATATTTTTTGTGTGTCCACTTACTTGATTTGACATGTACAAATTGTTGCCACCAATAAATAAGCTCACAATCATCAAATGATTACCAAATATTATTCCAAAGAACCTTACACTATACAATACAATACCCAAAATAAAAGAAAAAATATATACCATTCTAACACAACAAATATTTATATGAGGTATTTATTATCTGTTTACCAAAACAAAAAATGCCCAACTTTTTAAACAAAAGAAGAAAAACTAAACTTAAGACTACAAATATTTAATATTTGCAATAATATAATTTTTAAATTTTAATAATAGCAATGAACTTGTAGTTCAAACTAAGTACATGAAAGTGTAAAAAAAAAGGCACACTGTTCTTTAGATGTAATGTACACAATGAGGTAGTTAAGTATAAATTTTATTTTCTGAATGTCAAATTTGGTAAACAATAACATTTGGCATTATTTAAGTAGTCTTAAATAAAAATTAAAAAGTGTACAATTGACATCCAAAGAACAGAATTTTATACAATTTAAAGTGCGCCTAACTTATAAAAGAAAAAAGTAACATAATATAATTGCAAGAGTATAAAAAAAGAACCTGCAACCACAATCTCCATGGTCAACTGCATTCACAACTACACGAATATAATTATATTTGTTTACATCTTGAAAGAAAATAAGATTGGCGTAAATATTTGTATAAAACGTAACAAGTTATATATATGAAGTCAGAAAGTATTATCGATTTTTCATTGAATGTTAACTCAATAATATTAAGAGCCTACCGATTGGAAATGAATTTTTTTTTTCTACTAATAAATTTAGAAATGAAATACCAACAAAGAAAGAAAAAAAGAGGTAATATGTTTTATTCTAAAAAGATATTAAAGCTACACAGAAATTAAGTAAAATGGCTTTAACAATAAACAGTTTTTTTTAAAATACCCGTAGCACAAACAGAAGCTAGAAAATCTCCATTTAAAAATAATACCACATAAAATTCTAAGCATCTGTTTTGATACTGTTTATAGTCTATGCCAACTAGTACTATTTCAATTTCTTCTGATATATAAGAATTAAAACTTTTAAAAAATTAACATCCTTCCAATCGACAAGGTAATAACATTTATTATAAAAACCCGTAATTAAATCAAAGCCCAAATCGAGAATAAACCCTGACTTCCTCTGAATGTATCCTATTCCCTGAAATTAAACGAAGTATATAAAACTTAGCTCGGGTGGGCTCCGTGCTATAAGAGGTAGAAAAGAAAACAGATTGCAAGTGGACGGGAGACTACAACCAAAGTCCAACTTTTTTCAAAATTTCTTATGGACTTATGGCCGAGTTTTGATCATGCTTGAGCAACCCCAACACTAAGGGGGCTAACAACTGAACCAGTAAAGTCTCACTACTCCGGTAAATCTATTTTGAGACTTTAACTGGCGATTATACTATTAAATTGTGTCAAAAACTGTGCTGGTGCACAAAGCTCTTACATAATTCAAGTTTTCATTTGCCAGAGAAAAAATTTATCATATCGTTTATAATCAAAAATTCTGTTTTTATATTTTTGCCCATTTTTCGAAGTGATGATTGAAATTTGGAGCTTTGTGTACCAAGCACCCTATAAATATCTACTATAAATCATACGTTCATAACTCATTCACACTTTTTACAATTACCACTTAATATACATAATTATTCTTGTACTGAATTTACATTAAACATGGAATTTTTATTTTTATTTATTTTAGATGTTTTTATATTATAACGTTTTACCATCCATTTAACAAATAAAGGTTAACACACATAAGACAACTCTCCAATTACCTGCTGTGGATAAGAAAAGAGACAGCATAAGCAAAATAAAAAAGAATTCGACATAGAAGTGAAATAGCGACCAATGTGACGTTAAGTAGATGAAAAAAGTGCCTTTTCTTACAAGCAAGTGAATACATAAGATTATTCAATTAAATGTTTTGAGTATATTGTAAAAACACCTAAATTTTGAATTTTATATTCCTTTAAAAATAAACATACACTCTTGAAGATACATTATATTTTTGATCTATACATCTACAAAACATACATAGAGCATTTGTAGGGTGACTCTAACAAAGACCCTGCAACCTCGGGATACAATAAATAACCAATGTAATAATAATAACCATGAAATATCTTTTCCCAAAAACTTCTAAACAACGACAAAAAATGACAAGAGGGGGGAAAAAGGTGCCAATTTTCTAAACACTGACAATGGTCACTATGGAAGAGGAACCCCATGGAATCAAGACTATACATATATATACTTTTCTTTAAAAAAAAAAAAATAAAAATAACAAATAAAAAATGAGGTATTGTTTTAATAAAATTACTAATAATTATTAACAGCTCTGGGGTAGATTATAATATAATATCTGAAAAATATTGTGATTTGTTAATTGAGGTAGTAATGGTTTTTTACAAAACTATATTAATATCGTCCATATAATATATAATATACTGTATGTGTCGACAAATTAAGACAACATTGAACTGTAGGCTTAATATACCTGAGCATTTTTAACGTTAAAATTTACCATATCTTTCGCTTGCTCATAATTCCCTCCGATTCTTAGGCTATTTATTTGAAACAACAATGTTGAATCAACGAAAGTTATAATACGATTATGTCTCCCTGTAAAATATGAGGTAGGTAGCTTTGTACTAGTGTTAGAATTTGTCCAAATACTAGATAAAAACCTAGCTTAATGAGGTATTTATCACTTGCACATTTGGCAACATAAAACGATTACGACTTATTTGTATTTATAGTAGACATATACAACATTAAATAACAACTCTAACAAAATATATGCAAGTCACACCAATTTCTTATAACTACGATCAACATATTTTTTGCAAGTATAAATTTTCATGTGTCTGTGAAGAAAAATCAGCAAACATTGTACTGCGGAATAATGTGTTTTGTACTAATGGTTGTACTTATTTGCATTTGGCAGTGAGAAAATGCCTGATTGTGATCCCTGATAAGTTCAAGATTAAATTTATAACGAAACACTACTTTATTAGAAAATGTTGTAAGAATTTATATCGATATAATTTTTTACACTCAAAACATTAAACGTTTCACACCCAATTATATAATAATAATACATATTTTTACATACACGGAATGATGGACAAAACAATATTAAACAACAATTCTTAAGCGACAAAGAATGTTTCCTATTTGTACACTACAATGCTTTTATCCATAAAACAAAAAAAAAGAATAAAGAAAAAGAAAAAAATGAGTTCCTCTTCCACTAAACAGTTGAATACATCAAAAATTACATCTAGTATTAAAACACCCAAAAATTGTCCAAAAGTTCCATAGTGACTTACTTACAATTAATTTAATACCCGTTGTGAAATGAGAACAATTGGGAACACATAGAGAAGCCTAACCTAAAAAATAAAGCAACTTGTTTAAATTGTTCGTTGGTTTTGTTGTTGTTTTTGAATTTTTTTTTTGTTTATGAAGTTCGAGTACAATTTTATTAAAACAGTAATTGATATTATAATGAGAAGGAAAAAAAGACGAAGAAGAAAACTGGATAAAAATCTGCCAATTCCATATCCGTAAATAAAAGGAAAGTGACTTATGTTTATGGGAATTGAATATCAACAAAATAACTGGCCATAATTAATCTGAACCTCAGATTTGTGTAAAACTAACTATTTGTAAACCACAGCAGAAAATAACCAAGACACTTGAGTTAATTGCACTGCAATAAAGCTCGTAGAGAGCTGAGACAGCCTGTTTCCATTTATCCTAACTGCATACTCACCTAACAGTTCACCTGAGACAACTTTTTATATTTGTACAATTAATTCTTAAGAACCGAAAGTGAATATGAGCTTGAACAAATGTAATTATAAAATGATTCATTTTCTTTTTAGGAAATATAGTAAAAAATATAAACAGCAATAGTGCGCAGTGCTATTAAAAAAAATCCACAATCCCAGATATGTTACATTCCCATTCTCTTAACTCAACTTCAAATATGTGGCTGTACCCATAATAACACAACCTTTGTATATTGATTTAACTACTTTAACAAACCTATTATTGAATATATAACTATTTACAAATCTATACGTTATCTACTAACATGAACAACTGTCATCACATATGTAAACATGTATTGTTTTATCAGCGGCATACATGTGTTTTGAGGTATGAAGAAAGCCCTTAGAAAAAAGAACCGTTTTTTTGTTGTTTTATTTTTACTAAATAAAAGCACTTATTATTATTTTAGGAATTTGGGACAATTTTACCTAGCGGAAAATCTGTTTACTATTAATTATTTATTATAAATTAAATTGAATCTGACATCACAGCTGGCTTTACTGTATCGTACAAAAATTTGGTTTTTGTACTTCTATTCATTCGTTCTGTAATCACTCATTTATTAAATCTTATATTATAAAGTCTGTATTTGGTTAATTATAAAAAACTGACATGTAATTATTTGGTCAGTGTAGCACGGTGGTATATTTAATAATAATATTGTCTATATATTTCTGTATATAAAACTATAAAAACATAAAACAGATATTAAAGTTATGTAATTATATTAAAAATATATATATTTATGATAATATATCTGCTTGTTTATGAATTATATTATATTTATATTAGTAGCAGGGAACATTATTACATTATTAACGGTACAGCCACAACTAATGATTTAACTATTTCGTTCATTTATAAGTATTATTATCAACATAAAATACGCTTATAAATCTATATATTTAATTAGTTTATCCCGATTTGTACACTGTATGAACTACCTGAGATGCACAGCAGTAGATCTGCTTTAACTGTTAATAACCTGATAGTGACGATGGTATGATACACATTATAATATCAATAGCAAAATATATATAAAAAAACTGTTAACATTAGGATTTATATAAATCTGTACATAGTTGAAAATAAATGACCTGAGGTAAGTTGTATGAAACAACGTATATAATATTATTTACACATAAAGACTGTACAGTTATCGAGGAAGGAGAATTTAAAAAAAAATGCAAACGACAACATAACCATACAAAGGCAAAAGGGTGATGTTTCAGATCTGAGGTCGAACAACAACATGTAAAAATACTGCTGAACCTTAGTGAACGACAATAAAACTGTAAGAACGGATTAGAAACAACCTAAACACTAGGATTTAACTGACTAGGAGCAAATAGTAAATGCTGTTAAAAATATGTTAAGCCTTCCCCCATAGGCTCGAAAGCATTTACTATAAACATAGACCAAAAAATAATGCCTGATTCAATTAGTTTGTTTTGATACACAGGTTTATTTTAATTATTTCCTTTTCAATTTTGGCACAAGAGCTTAGTAATAGTGGGCTGCATTCTCAGAGGGGGCTTTTCTCATAGCGTAAAATTCCTGAGTAGTATACAGTGCAAACAGAGACAACTCTGCTAACACAAAAAAAAAAAAAAAATTAAGAAATTAAAAAGAAAAATCATAAAGAAAATTTTGTTGAGTTGCACTCGAATGACTAGTTCTTCTAGAAAAAGAAAAATATAGCTGTGAATGTGTTACGTAGAAGGGATCTAACGACAAGGCACACAAATCAGACCTATCATCATCACAACGTCACAACGTGCCTTGCCATATCTAACAGTTCCCAGTAATGTGGAACAAATAAATTGTCTGGTACGCTGACAACGCATAGATAAAACCCTTTGTAAATTTCTCTTATAACAATGGTTTATAATAATTTGTATAATATGTTTTGTGTTTATAATAATATTTCAATAATACCTATTTCTACTTACTATTATAATGCTTATTTCAAAATAAAATCAATTAAAAAAGAAAAAGATCAAATGAGGTATATGTGTTGAGGTTTGTGGTCCGTCCGTTGGGACTACTGGTTGTGGTTTTGTACCTGAGCTGACTGGAGAGCCTTGAGACTAAGTTCTGTCTTGTGCTCACGCGCTATATGACGCCTCACCGTGTTGTTTCTTGTGAATGTGCGTGAGCAGAATGGACATGGAACTCTAATCCCTTGATGCCGTTGCCGTATGTGTGCCCGTAAATTTGTTTCATACCCGTAAAGTCGTTCACAGAATGGACATTGTAGTTTCTTACCTGTAATGAAAATATTTGTTTTCGTCTAGGTTTATGCACAGAAATTAAATTGTTTCCAATTTGGTTTGACAATAACATATCAGGACTGTCACATTTATTTGAATTTGGTTTACCTTTTCTTTTACCTCTTTACTTACTACAAAAAAAAATTATATTGTTTTGTAATTGAACATAAACATTACAAATTGGAAAGAACATTTTATACATCTACTCACAGGCCAAAAACTTCACCACTTGGATTTTATTTAAATATAGATAAATAAAAATATCTAACTGGACAAGATAAAAGATGATTTAAATATAGATAAATAAAAATATCTAACTGGAGAAGATAAAAGATGATTTAAATATAGATAAATAAAAATATCTAACTGGAGAAGACGAAAGATGATTCAGTATTATCATTTTGGCATTAAATCTAGGATTTTGGCTCTCAGCGTTCTTTTCAAAAAAGTAGTTTGCTATTTATTCAGTGTCAATCAAGTTCTAACGTACTTTTATGTTTTTTGCATCACAGCGATGATCAATTTAAAATGCTTCTCAGTGCAGAGGATATTGCACTTCAGCATGAATTGACCTAATGAAATATGGAGTCACATGACAGATGAGACTAAAACAATTTGTCTTATTGGACAAAGACAGGTTCAGAAGAGGTCAGGGGCAGTACTGTTTTTGATGATGCTACAAAATAAACCTCTAGTCCATTCTTCATGGAGATTAATTTCAGGGCGTTATCTTTAATTAAACTGCTCATATGAGAAATACAATCTGTTTTACTGTTTTTCTCCCAAAAACCTTCAGATGGCCATGAAGGGTATAAATAAAAAGTTATGGCAAAGTAGAATTCAAATGGAAAAAAAAATAAAGAAAGAATTAAAATTATATTATGCTTTTTCGTTAGTTTAAACTTCAGGTGAGTTCTTATTCATTTATGAAATTACTTGTGCTGATTGAAACTGTTATTTATTTCTTTATTTTTCTAGATTTTGAATTTATATAGGCTCAAATCCGCACATACATGCAAATGTGCTGAGTTGAGCCTATTCGCTTCTTGTAGTCTACCACAATTCCAGCTTTTGCTATTTACAGTAAACCACCAGACAACTCGAGAATCACCCACCCGATTGGCAATCTGAGACAGGCATCAGTCTTATCCGCCCAGCCACAGAGGTTGGCCCCTAGGGTGGGGCATACTTTCATTCATATTTAATTCCATTCAATCTTATTTACACATCATTCATTCAATTAGGGTGATGGAGTACTCAATATTATACATAAACTAAACCTAATTGAGGGCCGATATTCCGCCATCGATCCTCTCACATCACATATTCATGCTAATAAATACATTCACTCTCAACACAAACTAGGTATACACAATTATTACTATATTCAGGGGATTGACCTACTCTCTGCAATGCTCAATCACAGATCAGGTGGCATTCCTGCACACTCTCTGTATAGGGCCAAGGAACTGCACCACTGCACTCTTCAATTAAGTGGGACACATTGAACAACCTTTCTGTGCATGCTGGACACTGCTTTGCCCCAAAAGTAATTGCTTATGTGTTAACCTAGCAAGGCCTATTCTTAATCGGGTGAGAATAACCCTTCTTCTACAAGTCAGATCCTCCAGGCCCCTTCGAGGGCCCAACGACAGTGCTTTTGAGAGCTTCTCTGTCAATTGAGCACACTGATATTGCCTCCCCTCCTTAATCATGTTCTTTTGCATTCTTCATAGGGCCAGATCACAGTGGTTAAGCTCTGAGTTTGGGACGTTTTTCATTAACCACCAGACCTACGTCCTTAGGTAACCAGAAAGCTAAAGAGAGTCAACGGATAACCTGTCATGGACATCAGTAACCACACGTGGGAGTCAGTAGCCACTGTCATCTCAAATCACCCTGTGCTGCCATGTAAATGCTACAGCACAGCAGAAGCAACCATGAAGTGATGCACCCAAGCAATATACGCCACACCTTTGTCAGTGGACCCCCAGTGCACCTAGACCTAAGCTCCAAGAAGAAGCTCAGTAAAGGCACGGTGGAGTAAATGATTTGGCCAACATGGCAAGATCTTCCCAAACGAGTACGGCTGGGAGAGTTGAACTTGGAGAATGAGAGAGAGGGGGACCTGAAAGCTGATGACTCAGATTGGCAAGGAACCTCGTTGCATAGCTGAAGATGAGCTGCTCCCTCCGAAATTCGGGTGGCAGCACTTCCAGCTCGCAGAACAGGCTGGCCATAGTTCTTGTCCTGGCTGTGCCAGAGACCGCCAAAGACCCTGATAGTAGAGCCTATCGAGCTTCCGCAGGCATGTTTTTTGGGCTGAAGAATAGGCCATACAACCATAAAACAAGTACAGCATTGAGTCAAATATTTTCAGGAGGGTACTTTTCTTTTTTATACAGAATTTTTCTACGTTTATGCTACTTCCGAAAACATTTTCCCATAAAAAGCCTACTAGTAAATGTATAGAGGTATCTGCTGTTATTTTTTTAGAATTGGAATTTTTGGTCATACAGGAGTGCTCAACCCCATTTGGTGTCGTGGATGAGGGGGTCAGAACCACTTTACAGTACTTTTGTCAAATGATTCTCAACCAAAAGTGCAAGGGTTAGGCCACCCCAGAGCTATTAGAGTGGTGAATACGAGTTGGATGTCTCAACGATCTGACCATCACAGCTCTCGTTGCAGGATCAGCAATACACTAACAACAAACCTGTTAAATTCCAAGTTTCTTCCTGCTTCATCTTAAGCATTCTGTACTTTCAAATTTTGCAGGAAGATAGATCATTTCTTCGAATCCACTGGAAAACTTATCTCAGTAAAATTTGAGCTTCTCATCTCACCTCAGCTTCTATTTTATAAATTTCTTAAATTGTAAATATTCCTGTCGCAGAAGGGTTTGGGTTTAATCAAATCTACTTTGTACATATATAATTTGACCCACAGCTATTTTTTGAGTAAGGATTTCACTGGAAATGTCATTTTAAATTGTTTGTACAAGTTTTGAAACAACTTTTCAGTACCTGGGTGTAATTACTTAACATGTTCTTCTAATATTAATCTTGTTCGAACATTTACAGGATAGCATAAAATTTATTTTCGAGGTCTGCGAGGTGATGAACTTACACCTTGGCTTTTGTGGGGTAAAAACATGGCGTAAAGATGGCGAAAAACAAAATTGGATTCGACATACCAAACTAAAGATTTAAAGGGTATGGTTGTTCAATCCTTTTTACACAACTGGGTAACATCATACAGTTACTGGGGATTTTTTAATCTAATATTTTTCCTCTTCGAGAGAAAAACTAATGTAAATAATAAAAATTTTGTTATATTCTAACTGGCTGGAGGTAAGTGTCACTAGACAGAAACTTTACCATTTTATATAATGTATATAATTGTATATAAAATTCTGTTCTGTTCTGGGTAACATCAGACAAGAACCATTTTATAACTTGATGAAATATCTTGAATAAATTATCCAGGTAAGAGGAATCACTGGATATTAAAGTACAAGAATCTTAATTTTTTTACGAGGGTTCGCAACAGCAGAGGTCATATAAACCCTCAGGGTGCTGGTGTTTTTGAAAAAAATCCCATTTGTAAGTATGTCGGTTTCGAACCCGGGATCTTTACCATACAGTGATGAGCGCCAGGTCAACACCCAAACCGTTGCAGCCACTGACGCCCCCAAGAATCTTAATTATAAATTAAATCAACTAACCATCAAATAAATATTAAGCTAAGATCCAAAATAAGTAAAAAAGATAACCAAGTTGGTGCAAGTTTTTGCTTGTGACAACACTGAATTAAATTTAGTTTACATTTTTATGGTATGTACCTTAAACGCTAAACCCTTACACAAATCATAATGATTTTTTTCCTTACTCTTTGTAAATTCTTGCACATCTGTTTACCTTTTTAAAGTCTTACTATAATTGGAGTGTCAGAAAGGGCATACAGTATGTTTATAAATAATTTAGCAATCTACTGGTGATAAATCACTGCAAATAAATGTAGGAAAAAATTCATAAGTTAGCAAAATTAATAATGATTTAAAGATTTATTTCCCTCTACATTAAAAAAAAAATTAAAAAAATAATTTAAAAAGAAAACTGTGATCTCTGATTTTTGTTTTAAACTATTAATTTACAAAAGAAAGCAAACTAAAGAAAAAATTAAAATCATTAACTATGTGCCTGTGTTTAATAAAATAGACCAATTAAAAAAGACTTTTTGATTTCTGATCACTTTAATTGAAACTTCAAGCTTATCTATTCATTGTCCATAATCAGACATATCAGACATGTTTTTAGCAGGCCCCTAGAGGGAGTTGATAAGCATATCAGGGTTTTTTTGTTCCATTTGAATTTTATTGGCAAGTTTATTTATATCTATCAAAGTTAGGAATGAGTGTTCTATGTTATCTAACAATTAATTTAATTTTATAATCAAGATCAATTTATAATTGTTAAATTTATAAATTTTATCCCTCCTAAAAAAAAGTGACTGATATGAAATTGAACTTTTTAAGATTTTATAAAAAGGGTTTGTAAATAATCCAAAAGATTGCATCAGATGGTCATTGGTCCAGAGAGGGGAAATATTGATTTGGACATTTGCGGAGGAGGGGAATCAAAAATATCAATTATATTTATGAGTGTGGACCTCTGTTTCTGGAGTCACCCTCACCCCTTTGCTCACTCTTACTCCCCCACTCTCTTTAAATGGTGGGTGATGTGTTCCAATCAATACTATGAAGGAGGGGGGTTGTTGATTACATGAGTGAGATCAAATAAAGGAACCCTCTGACACTCCAACCCCTACCCTTTTATCACCGATACCTAATAAACCAGAGTGGACTGCCCATTTTTGCATCAGACAAAACTTTACCAATAAATGAAAGACAATGCTGAAAATGTTGAAAATTCCCAGAGGGCATTATTAAGCAAGCCAATAGCTTAATTAGCATGATGCCAATTAATTGTTACATTGGAATACATTCAGTTTAATGAGCTGGTGGAAAATAGGAAAGAAAGTTAATCAACCTACTTTCCTCTATAGGCTATTTTTTTTAATGCTCTATTATTACACTCACCATCAGGAGTCGTAGCCGTTGGTGCTCCTTTGTGAGCAGTTGAGAGTTTTGTACTGGACGAACAGTTCCAAACGTTCGAAGACATTATATCCGGAGGTTGACATTCTTGTTGTGTGTTAGTCTCTGTATAGCCCCATTCATTCTTTATAACTCTCTCACTTCCTGGCGGCTCCACTTTTACACTTAAATCTGACAAATAAAAAATAAATGTCATTCAAACTATAAAAACAATAAATACAATGTAGTAATAATAACCATCATTACTAACAGCAACATATATTTTCAAGAAATACATATATGCTATAATCATTTAAAAATGTATTTTTTATAATTAAATCACATGACGCAAGTGAGCCACATTTGATAATTAAAAAAAGAAATATTTTAGAAGTTATTAAATTTTTATTGAAAATTATAATAAATTAAAATTGAACAAAACCTGAGACTCTCTGCTTTTATTGCAATTTAAAAAGTATTACAATTACTCAAACAAATATGATTAAAACCAATTTATTTGTAAAAAAAAATGTATATATAAATCCGATTCATACAACGTTGTTAAATTTTAACTAGGACTAACGTCAAAATCCTAACAACTATTTGTTGATCAAAAAAATAGTTCATTAAATTTTAAAATGAATGTTTATTATAATAATTCCACTATTTTTTGTGGGCCACTTGACCAAACAACCTTAATTAATTGAATGATATAATAATATTTATCTTAAAAAAGAGAATTTAACATTATTTTTTAAAAAAATCAGTATTAGAAATTTACCTTCAGGACAACTGGAGGATCGCCACAGATCAGGCGGTGTATCTGATTCCACAGCAGCAGATCTGTCAAAAGGCACCGAACTGACTGGAGTGGGAGTCGGTGCAGAAGCGGGTGTGTCGGATGATGTAGTAGTTTCGTATCTTGGGGATTGGTAAGGGGGTGGCTGGGGAGAAGCGGCTTGGTGGTAAGCGAGCGACAGGGGCGATTCTCTTTCGGGTTTGCTCCCGTCTCTCAGCACAGAAGCTCTCATCGATGAATTCCTCATTGGATCGCTAGGCGATCTGTGATGTCTCTTTCTGGGAAGATTGTCATAGCTTGACGCTGGCACTCGCTGCTCGTATGCCGCCACCATGTAGTGGTGCATGTACGGGGAAAGGACAGGGGGAGTGTAAGGAGAGGATGTCGATGGAGGGAGCATTTCTCCGCTATTTTCTCGCTCGGACACACCATCCTTCATTGACCCGTTGCTCGTGAGTGTCATACTGCACTTTGACTTCCCACCCCTCGGTGATTCGCTTCCTGGGAGTTCATTATTTGCGGCTTGTGTTTGAGCTGCTGCCAATTTCTCGTGTTCTATCGACAGCCCTTTTACCTGTTAAAAAAAAATAATAATAATAATAAAAAATATATTTATATGAAATAGGCAAAAATTGATGTCCGACATACTTGCAAACATTCAGCTGCCTTGAGAAAGCTTGATAAGCTTTCGTGTGATACATGTACTTCTCCTTTGTACATGAATTCAAGGAGAGCTGACATATTGCTTGAAGAGGTTCCATCGAGTATCACTAGAACACTGGGACAGTGTGGAGCTGCTTCAAACAAGTCTTGAAAATGTTTACTACATGCCGCTAATATGAGTTTGTGTGCTTTGAACGTCACTCCTACAAACACAAAAACGGCAAATGATAAACGTGTTCAATTAAAACAATGGAATATTTTAACAACCTTCGCAAAATAGTGTAACATCTGTGAGGCTTTCAGATTTGAATAAACTGTCAAAGGTAGTGACTAAATTACTCCCAAAACTATTCCACTTTAGACAAAACTGCTGCTGTGGGTCCATTCCAGGGTACCTTGAGATGTATTACCCTAACTGAAATATTAAAAAAATTAAATATTAAAATTGACATAATGATAACATAAAAATGATACGACAAAAAGTGTTCTAATTTTATCAATATTGCAACAAAACTCACTCAAAGCAAGTCTAGGCATTTATATAATGTCAACGAGTCTGACGAGTTATTAAAATAATAAAAATTGCAAATTAGTTGTCAATTTTGTTTAAAACAATAGTGTTTCATTTTAGTTATTTATTTTGAATAAATTGTATTGTAAACATAAAATACAATGCTGAATTGGGGGAGCCTAAATTTATAAACTTTAAGTTTAATTAAATATTCTGTGTTAAATTTAAAAATAAAATATATTTTTAATACTTAATAAATTAATAATTTTTTTAATGAGGAAGAATTACAAAAATATAATACCCATGGTTAAAAATTAGCAAATATATACCACAATTGATTCTGATTCAACCTAAATTATAAATAGACTCAAACAATTCTTCAATTAGGCCCCAAGGAGTCAAGCAAATGAGGCATATGTATTTAAACCAATTCTACTACTCGTTTGACTTTTTCACATATTTGTTTATTTACTTTTTCACCAGTCAAGCAAGGTTTGAAAATGAAATCGCAAAAACACATTACATTTACAGCACATGTCTTATCAGTCAACCAGACTCAGTATTCTGTTTTTATTATTTGTAAAAAATAATCTCCCCAAGAATGTTAGTTTTTATATGTACTATCTGTACTACTTCTTTTATATNATATATCAAATTTAATATGTATCAATTAAAACTAAACTGTCTTCGATTGAAAATTTTAATTAATTACAATCAAAGTGCTTTTGAAAGTTTGTATCTACAAATCCAAATGTAAAAAAACCCACCATAAATATAAAATGTTAATTTTATATCTTTTAAATATTATTAAACTTATAGACAAAATCGTCAGCAAAACAACAAAATTTAACAAAATTATTAATATAGAACGCTAGCTACATTCAAATATAGACTAAAAATATACAACTAATAAACATACACCAAAATATAGAGAAAAAAAGACTGAAAAGAAAAACTATAATATTCATTCAAATACATTAACCATTAGCCAACCAACAAGCTACATTTTTATATTATTAATCCTGATTATCCTGCCTACTTCCTCCAATGCCTTTAGATGAGTTAAAAATAATAATTTTAAACAAGAATAGACAGATCAGGATGATTCGTGACTGTCTATTCATAGATGTCGCATAAATTTGGCTTGTTTTCATTTTAAAAATTATTTTAAGCTTTATCGATATTGGAAGCAAGGTGATAACAAAACGTGTTCAACAATATTCCTCTCGAATGTATGTATGTCGAAACTTAGAAAATCAAAACTCGATTATGTATCAAAAACTGAAATATGTAGTTGATATCGCCAATCTGCACTTGATTTATTTAAAAAAGGACTTGAAAATTTTTTTAAAAAATACTGCCACTATTTTTCAACTGGCTGATAATCAGTAGGACAACTATTTGTAGCCAGACTGGACCAATTTAGCCATCTGATAAATAAATATTTTAGTGTAAATCAACACATTACATAAATTATTTATTAATTTTTATTTAAATATTACTGTTGTAATAATAAATTTTTTATCTTCTGTCATTTATATTTGAGGGCAAAAATTGCTTGTTTACCAATTCTTTAAAAACCAAATAAATAAAATAAGTTAATAAATAAAATAATTTAAATGTTTAATTTGTTTCTATAGTTATTTAGATGGTTTTCACACATTAAATAAATTTAAAAAATACAATCTCTCACTCACACACTCAGAAACATTGGAAAAACTCGTTTCAGAGTCCTCAATCCTGGCCTTGTTAGTTATTTAATAATTGTAGATTTATTATAAGATTTAAATTGTAGTACTAGTAGTAATTGAAGACAAAATGAAAATGGTTATTTTATAGAAATGATAAAATGGTGGAGCGTGTTGATCATTCTTTATAAAAGAATAGTTCCTACTTACAGTTAGTAAAATAATGGTTAATTTCCAATATAAGATATATACTGTAAAGACAATTGTTTACATTTTGTTTTCAGGGTTTTCTAATTTTTGTTTACATGGAGAAAGACTGGCTTTATTTTATAAACAATTGTTGTACAACAAGTAACAATGGTACAAATAAGTTTTCAATGTGTTCTGTTTTGTAAAAATTGTGTTAGCTTTCTAACTTTTTAAGAATAGTTTTGGTCATTAATTGTAGGTCTTGGGCCAATTGCAAATGTACTGATTTCTCTCCCATTAAAACTGCAAAAATATTTTTTCTTATAATGACATCTTTGCAATTTAAACGTTGTTCGCAATATTTATACCGAAATAATAAGATAACGTTGAAATTTGAACATTTTCCTATTAGATTCTTAAAAAAGGTATCAAGTAGTAAAGTTGTGTCTATTTTTACTCACTTTACAAAATTTGTTTAAATTTTTGAATCAATGAATTTTTTTATAAGATTTACCTTGTAACAATAAATTAAGGTATTAATACGTTTAATTTTATTTACTAAGTTTTCTAACGGTTTGAGTTTCTATACATTAAAAACATAATAATGTTGGTTATTATTTACTTGGATATTGTTAGTTTGTTTTAAGATTTATTTTGTAGTCATAGGATGAAAGTGAAATTTTTTGTTCCTTTTTTTCTGAAAGTTTGGCATTTTGTTGTTTGTGTAATAAATGTTACTTTGTTTCTCCACTTTTTTTAATAACTTTCATTATTAATTACAAGGATATTTGTAGGTTTGTAAAATTTATGTTAAGAACGAAAATTTCTGTTCTGAGTTTTTCTCAAAATATGACATTTTGTGGTTTGTTTCTGTAATAAATGTTGCTTTGTTTCTTTTTTTTTAATAATAATATTCATTATTAATTATGAGAATATTGTAGGTGTTGTAAAATTTGTTGTAGTCACGAGATAAAAAGAGGAAAATTTTGGTTCTTACGTGTAGGGTTGTAAATAGTGCTCAAATATTTTATTCAATCAGTTTTTGTTTTGATTTTTTTATATATGTATTTCGAAGCTCTGACTGGCTTCCTCTTAAAACAAACAGAGCTTCAAAAGTGCTATATATATTTAAAAAATTATATATTGAAACTGTTTACTATTTCACACTGATTTTATGCTGAATAACACTGAGGAAAAAATTAAAAGTTTATTGTGAAATTTTTGTAAAATTTTATTACTTTTTGTTGTTTTAACAGTGATTTTTGTGAATGTGCCATATTGTCGTAGGATTTATGGTGAAATAATATGACAAAATTAAAATTATGACTTTTTTGTTTTTAATAAAATCTTTTTTTTTATTTCTGTTCATTTCTAAATGACAATGGGTTTTTATTTATTATTCGTGTTGTAATTGTTGTTAATGTAAATTAGAAATGCTTAATTTTTATGCGGATTTTTTGTCATTCTCATTTGTTTACCATGGTTGGTAATTTTGTACCAATCATCAATAGGGGAAATTTTAATAAGTTTTGCCCAAAAATGGGCCGTTCAAAGGTGGAAAATGTCAATTAGCAAAAATAGAGAGAACTACGAAATGCTAGAGTTTATAGATCTCACCTTGAAATTATGCATTTCTAGAATGACCTCTAACACGAATCGTGTCCTATTTTCTCTTGTAAAAACGACTTACGAAGGCGAAAGTCTAAATCGAATCCAAACTCGTACGATACGTTGAGAAAAATAGAAAACGTGCTGAATAACGGAACGGTCGCATATTTAATAATAACAAAATACGTAATGACCACTGGGTGTAAATTCCCCGGACAAGGTCGTACGAATAATGGTTAACCGAGGCGATATCAATACAGAAAGTCGCGAAACTGTGGAAACGGGTCGAAATAATGTCGAAAACCGCGATTTCATACGTTAATGCGCGACTGGGGGCCGAGGTCGGTCGAGTCGTAGGCCTACGCGAAAAATATTCGCATTGCAACCATCTTGACACGATTCATGCACATCCACACAATCATTTAGTGCAACAGAAACACTCGGCGATTTTAACGGGACGACACTCCGAGCTCCGTGGACAGAGACGGTCGCGCACTCGAACCGATTAAAAACCACCTTTTAAACTAATTATAATACAAAAACAAATTACCTTATGCCCTTTCCTTACACTATATATAAATATCCTAATTTCTGTAAACCTTGCATAAAAAGAAATTTCGTCCTACTGACGGAAACAGTGCTGATAACTTTGCAACTCGCACGCGCGAATTTTTTTACGACTCAAAACCATAGACGCTCCACTAAAATAAAAATAGTCCAAACCTCCATCTAAATTAATAAAAACTATAAATATAATTATTGATTTCATCTAAACAGGAAAAAACTCTAATTACTAAAATATCAGGAAAAACTGAAAAAATTGAAAAGGGCAATTTCTTCGGACGTCGCCTGGTGTCGTTTACTCGTACTAAATTTTCTCTAGGACAGCTGAGACTCTCTTCCTCGGATCGGTGGATTTCTCCTCATTCTAGGACTTTTTCCAGATCACTGCGGAAAATGATAAACGCCGTCGCGAAGTCGTGCCTGGCGAATTACCTGAGGGGCGCCTCCCAGATGGCCGCCACGTCGGGGAAGAGCCTCTCTGCGACCGTCGTATTGCAGAGCCCGTTGACTGTCGACCCTCCGCAGCAAATCCTCACCGGATCCTCTCTGAGGAAGGTCTTCCCTTGCGGGGATGTCAGGGTGAAAGCCGGACCAGCCGGTGAGCTTTTACATCTAAATATAAAAACACTTGAAATCGGGTCATCGGGAAACGATAAAGAACAAATTTTCTATTCTTGGCACTTTCCTTCCTGTGAACGATGTACCAACTCCATTTCCATTGCCTGGGGAAAGGCGGTGAGATACTAGCAGCAGAGTGTCTATTGGAAGGCATAGCTATTCAGCCACAATGATTTCACCTGGAGAGAAATGGTTGGTCTGTCCCTTCACATTTTAAAGGTGGCCTCAGACGTGCTGGATACGCCCAATACTGGTTTGTTGCTTCCCAACTAGTGGGAACGGCAGCTTGGTTATTCACCGAGCAACAATATTTGGTGCTTGCCATGCTCAGCTAATAGTCCGTTTTATTGCCCACTTCAAAGAGCATAAATATTCATGAAGTAGCCGAACTCAAAGCATCCACCATTTGGGAATCAACTATACTGCACGTAAATCAACTGTAATCATCACTCTATAGTATCTATTTGCCTCTATTTATTGCTATTTATTTTTCAATAATAAACGATTTCCTAACTGTTCCTCGATCTGTACCATAATTTGGAACTCTTCAAAACGAATCAAAAAAATCGGAATGAGGTTTGCGATGTGTGAAAACGGATCTAAAATAAAATTGGACAATAGTATTCTGTGCCTGAATTTGTATCCTCTTCACAAAACAGTAACAGCAGCTGCAGCAATCACAGTTTCACTGTTGTCCATCACGATTGGTAGTAAGTGAGGACTCGCATGGAACTTGGCAAATTTGTATCGCTGTTTCCGCACAAACTGGGACGTTGTACGAACTCCGCATGAGTGTGTACATTAGGTGCCAAGGCCATTGTTGATCTTGCTAGCTGATAACCCAAGGTAGAAAAAGAAGCTGCCACTTCCACTTATCTGGAAATGCCTAAAAGGCATGCTAAAAAGTGAATATGGCCCCAACAAATTTCTTAAAAGAATGTTTAAGTAATCCGAGCCTTCCATTGCACAATAGAATCTTTTGACATTGACTGGATCTCATGGTAATCATGGTTTCATATTAGCAGCAGAGGCTATTGAAGGCGTAGCTCAAAGACCACTCGCCTCAGAGAACCTTCGTGTGATGACTCTCAAGGTGTTCAACTGGAGAGAAATAGTAGATCTCTGAACCTTCCCATTGCAGAATGGACCATCTACTCAGATAATCTATCCATTAGCAGGACATCATGAACACAACTTACTGGTGATTTCATATTAGCAGTAGAAGGCGTCGGTGCAAACTATTGAAAACGTAGCTAAAAGCGCTACTCGTATTGGCCCACAGTTTTCACCTGGTGAGAAAGAATTGTTCCAAACTTTCCCATTAAGCCATCTGTTGATTTATCCACTGCCTTGCTAAAAGAGGTGACATGTTGCAGGAAAGGGGTGATTGAATTCATAGTTAAAAAGCCACAAAGTCTGTATTTAAAGGATCTAAAAGCCCAGCAACCTTATGTTTGAAGCTTGTGCTTGAATTTGTTGGGCTATTGTGCAATGAGCCGAACCTCAGATGATTTATCATTGGAACAGGGTTCACAACTTGGTCCTAACTATTTAAAATGTAACTAAAAGATTCATTCACCTCAGATCCATATCTTAAACGAGCCAAAGTACCCAAGGCAAAAGAGGCTGCCTCTCCCCTTTTATTTGGAACTGCTTAAAAAAATAAAATAAAATAAAAAAAACTGATAAGAGAATCCAAAGAAAAAGATAATATTTTAATGACAGACCATTTAGAAATATTTTGTGATTTTCTTGTTCGCTTTAAGTGCACGAATATTCACGAAGTAACCGTACTCAAAGCATCCACACATTTGGGAATCAACTGTACTGTACATATATTAACTGTAATTATTAATCAACATTGCTATTTATTGTTCAATAATAAATGATTCCTAACTCGTATAGTTGTATAAAAGAAAGAACAGCATAGCATTGTTTCTGTTGGTTAGAGATGGATTGTACCAACATACCGTGACTGAGTTTGGTGTCACAACACAAAACAGTAACCACAGCTGCGGAAATGACAGTTTCAATGTTGTCCATTGGTCGTACGTTGAGGGCTCTCATGGTAGTTGGGAAATACGTATTTGCTGTTTCCGCACAAACCAGGACGTTGTACAAACCCCACATGGATTAGGTACTATTTGGTAAATGCTAAAACAAGCATCTCCAGGCTTGGCAAATGTTTGGTGACAATCGGCATGTCTGGAGCCACCTTCAAATGAGTTATCTATTCAGGAGAATGCCCATACTAGAAGTAAGTTCCAGCAGCATCAGGACTTTACAACTAAGGCTATTCACCATTTTCAGTGCGGTTTGTGTTTGATAAGTGTTAGTCATGAAACGAATATGGGAGTGTTGTATTTTTGTCAATCTTTAATTAATTAAAAATGTTATGTTCCATTTGATTAAATATGATTGACCATGAATGCAGTGGGACACAATCTCAATACTCCAAGTTAAAGGTTCATCGCTTAGCAAAACTCAAGAAGAAATCTCACTGAACTAAATGGTATAATTCTCTGCTTAGAAGTAAGAGAATTAGGCAATACTAATATTCCTCAAATAAGAAATTTACAATTAAATTATTACAAAGTTTAGAGTTCCTTTCACCGTAGTATATCAATTGAATCAGACTTATCTTCTTCGAATAGTTTGGGTACTAAATCATTTATTTCTAATGTTTTTTCCCCACATTCCATGATACAAGGTGATTAAGCCGTAGGCTTATTGTAATTAAAATATAAAAAATACATTAAATGCTTAAATAAATAACAACAAAAAAATGTGTAACTAATGTTGAAAAATAAGAAAATCACTTGCTGAGAGTAGCAATGTTTCACTCACCTTAAAATTGCTCCTGTAGGATGATGCCCGTTGGTCCGCACCAAGGCCTAAGAGTTTTCTGCCGAGCATGGTGAGAAAATGCACTTAAGACCTTGGCTGTGAAACATAAACTGCACTTTTTGGAAGATAATTTTCTTGTGTTGCTTGATAGATAGGAGATAAGTTTCTTGTTGTTTCTCCTCTTGCGCAATTAAAGAGGAGAAATACTTTGTTGAAAGGGGAAAGACATTAACTAGTTTTATGACATTGTGAACGACTAGGCACTCAGCCTGAGTAAAACCAAATGCAAGGTAAAAGGGCTGTATCAATTAGCCTAACTCAGCCGCCCACTAAGCCAACTAATTTTTAATAAGAAAATAAATTACGCGTCGGTTTCAACACAAGGCATCAGTGCCACAACTGATCACATTAAATTTTCTGTATTATTTTTTTATTTATTTCATTTTTTGGTATTTATTTATTTTTTGTGATTATGTTTCAGTTACAACCCAAGTCAGATTTGCTCATACAGACATACCTGTCCCGGATTTCTCGCCTTACAGGAGGGCATCTGTCCAAGATCCAAAAACCTCGTCGAAACAAAGCGATGATTCGAGAAAGACTTTCAGCTATCTTGTTGTAGGAGGTGAGCACCTTGAAAACTCAGTTAGAAAAATTTATACTGGCGTCGGTGTTCGTAACGGTTTAAGCATTGACCCAGCGCTTATCACTGTAAGGTAAAGGTCCTGGGTGCATATACATATGCAGGGTCGCTGGATTCGAACCCGACATATTACAAATGGGCTTTTCAAAATCCCAACACTCTGAGTTCAATTCGTTTAAAATAAAGTTTGATGTCATGGAGGAAAAACAAATAATAATATCCAACTGTCACTTATACAGATTGGATATTATTATTTGGAAGAAATCATATATAATTTATCAAATAATACATTTATGTTTAAACAGGAGGTGCAGTAGCTGGCGCATATGCAGCAAAGGCTACTGTAAATAAGTTTATAATGTCGATGAGTGCCTCTGCTGATGTATTGGCCCTGGCAAAGATCGAAGTTGATCTGGGAGATATCCCAGAAGGAAAAAGCTTCACTGTCAAATGGAGAGGAAAACCTTTGTTTATCCGTCACAGGTAATTTCATACAAATATACATTAAGTATATACATATAATTTATAGTTAACAGCAGTGCCCAAGAATGTTGGATTCTTATGTTACAAGCGCGGCAGTTGATTGCCAATGCGATTTTGTTTGAACATTTGATTTGAGTAAATATTGTAAACAAATCTTTATCAGCATGAAAAATCCTCCTGTGTGGAATTAATTTGTCGCTCGATCATCTCTAGTCACCCACTGGATTTATTTTAATTCCTAAAATATAATATTTATTCAAAAAGTTGTCAGTTGGCTTTAAATTAGAATATAAAATTTGTAAATTGCTGCTCTTTCAAATTTTGTATTCAGACTTTTATCTGTAGTAAATCGTTTAATTTTAAGTTAACTTCATTGGTAAAAATAAAAGAAATTAATACTGAAAACTGGTAAAATTTGCGTATTAAAACCTTATGATTTTATAGGTAAACTTAAAAAAAAAATTACACATTTTTATATTTCAGAACGCAAGAAGAGATTAGCAATGAGCGACAAGTCAGTTTGGCAGAACTTAGAGATCCGGAAAAAGATGAAGACAGGGTTCAAAAGCCAGAGTGGCTCATCCTTATCGGAGTGTGCACCCATCTTGGTTGCGTACCGATCGCAAACGCCGGTACGTCCTAGTCCAGTTTGGTACAGTTTAAAATTTTTACAAATTCCCTTTTGACATTGGACACTTATTTCAGGTGACTACGGTGGATATTACTGCCCTTGCCACGGGTCTCATTACGACAACTCTGGCCGGATTCGCAAGGGGCCTGCACCGCTCAACCTTGAAATTCCACCCTACGAATTCACAGATGAAAAGACTCTGCTTGTCGGATAAATTAAGTTATTAGAATTCAAAACTTTTTAGCTAAAATAAACATGTATAAATCTTTGTACATTGTTTTTCCTGTTTTGTCGTGTATTTATTCCACATCCTTCAAATGTTCTAATATATAATTGGTCTTGTTTATAAACCCAAAAACTAATTAAATTGTTGTTAATACAAACTGTTGATAATTTTAAACCAAATATATTTTGTTCCTTTGTAGACAGATTATTAACCTTTAATGTTGAAATAGACATCAATTTTCAACAAGAAATGACATTAGATATTTTATTTTAATTAATTCTTTTTATTTTATGTAATGGTTTAATGTTTCACAAAATAAGGACACAAATGTTAATACAGTAGAGCACAGCAAATCAAATGTCTGCCTAATTTATGCACATTTTAGTCGGCGGAGAAGAAATTATTTTATAGCATCTTCAGGTTGGCTTGACAAATTAAGAACTAGGCATAAAATTTCTTTTAAGACCATTCGAAGGACTGAGGTTGTACAAAAGTGGATGTAAAAACTTAATTGATAGATACATACTAGTGAATAGTACGTATCCATAATAACACAATTGAGGTGATCAATTTTAAAACGGGCTCAATTCAATTTCAAAATTTTGACAGGCGACACAAAATTCAATTTAGCTAAATAGCGAGCTCTGAAGATGGACCAGGAACGTGATCCGAGCAACTGAAATATATAGCATAAAATAAATTGGTGTATTTAGTTTTAAAAAAATAAATAACCAACATTCTAGATTTAAATTAAATTTTGGATTGAGCCAGTTTTGAAGCAATCTGTGTAGCTAATCAACCATTTTAGTGGAATAAGTTGAAATTACTCCCAGTGTATTGGCCCATTTGTGTAAATCTAGTTTCAATAAAAACGAAACAATATTCTGATTGCTTAGGTAGGGAAAAAAGTAAAGTGGGAATAAAATTTTTATTGAAAAAATACTGCCTACATGATGAACATTGAATTGAGCCAGTATTTATCTAAACTTATTAATTTGGATGCATTTTTATACTGGCTTGAGTTGCTTTGGTCGAAACGGTTTTGCTAGTATTTCTGATTTGAGAATTTAAAAAAAAAATTGTTTTGCAAAAATTGCAGAATGAGCCAGTTTTGAAAAAAAAAATCGTCTCAGTTAAGACAACAGAATATAAACAAAACTTATTGTTTCAATTTCTTGAGGATGGCTGGTCTGCTCTCTAAAATTTAGAAGACAATGCACAGTGGTTGAGGCATGGTCTGTCGGCACTCTTTATGGTCGGTGATTTCTGTTCATTGCCACCTTAAACATATATTTGTTCAAGGTAGATTATGACCCTTGGTTGCTTGCCTTTATTAATAATAATAATAAAATCTTAATATTTCTTAGACAGAGAGAAATAAAACATAACTCTATTTATTTAATTTTATTTTTAATGCCTGTTTCTTAGTGACCAGTTGTTTTGAAGTCATGAAGAGCGGTCAAGAATGAGGTAGTTTAAAAAACTACCTTTTTATTTTTTTTGCCGACGTTCCGACCTTTATTCGGGTCATCTTCAGGGCCTAGGTAAATTACAAAACATATGTTGAAAAACTACGATTTTAGATGTAAATATAAAATTTGAACCAAGTATGAAGTGAGAATGAAATACTTGGTTCAAAATTTATATTTATATCTTAAATCGTATTTTTTCCAATCAGCATGTTTTGTAGTTTACCCAAGCCCTGAAAATGACCCGAATAAAGGTTGAAACATTGGCAAAAACATAAAAAAGGTGTTTTTCTGAACTACCTCATTCTTGACCACTCCTCACGACTTCAACAAATTTATTTTTAATTATTTTTTTCTCTTTTTTTGAAGGTATCACTTATCTTCAATTGACACCGGTATTGCCAAGCATCGTGTGTATAGCAAAAAAAAATTTTATAATGGATCTGATAAACGAAAAGAGAGAAAGTATGGGGACACCCAGATGTAAAAAATGATTTTCTGATAGAATTGAGTGTTCAGGCAGAAAATTAAAAACAACTTTTTTTTTGCTTTGTGCTCCCACTCCCACATCTTCCTGTACTCTTGAGTTGCATAATTACATAAAGAGCACAGTTCATTAGCATTAAATTTCTAGGGTACAAAGTTTAGAAATATTTATTTGCAACACATTTTTAGGAACCATCTCAGCTCACTCATACAATTTTTACTCGCAATGAGAAAATAGTATTTTCAGGAAAAATTATATAAAAATGTAGATTGTTGTTTATTACACTTAGTTGTTACATTTTAATGGAAATGTAATTTGTATATTTTGTAAGGAAATATTTTATATGTATGTCACTGCTTTATGTGTTTCAATGCCTCATGAAAATTGTGTTTTAGCAGTTGTACATTTGAACATTTATCGTTGACAAGTGCATTTAGAGAAATTAGTGAAATTTGTATGATTTTTCCGTCCAAGGGTGCCGTTTCGATTAGAAAAAATAAAAATAGTTTCCCCCTGAGCGCGCGCAGGAAGATGATCGGTAGCGGGCCAGGGCCTTGAGGATCGAGCGTTGTCTGTCGCCTGTCCTCATTCGCGTTTCTCTCATTCCTCATCGAGTGCGGCGAGACGGAGGCGCAGATGAGCGCTTTTAACCTCGCGGCCAGCGTTGATTGCTGCTTTGTTTTGAATATCAAATGACAAAATGGCCACGAGTTTGGAGTCGGACGGCGAATTCCACTCATGGCTCACGTCGAAGCTCAATTCTTTGAATACAGACGAAAGCGTCTTCGGCAGCTACATCACCGGCATCCTCACTGGCGATTACACACCGGAGGAAATGCAAGAAGCCTTGGAAGGCATCATCAGAGAGATCACTGTGAGTATTTATACACTAATTTAATTTTCAAAAATTGAACCTTTAAAAAAATTAATGTTCAAAATTAATTTCTTCGTAAATAAAAATTCTTAATTTTTTTTAATGATTGCAAGATCTCACACAAAAAAAGCAAATTTTCAGTCTAAAAAGCAATAAAACGGATTTCTTCCTGGAGACCGCATAATGATAAACATGTACCTTGGTTAACTCTATTTATCTCAGCCCTCTCCTGCAATTTGCTAACAATTAAAAAACATGATTAAAAGGAAATGAACGTGGTCTGGATCAGCACAGTTTCTCACGTATCAAAAGCACTGTCGATAGATTGTTCCCTGAGATCATACTCGTAGAAAAGGAGTCATCCTGATTAAGAATAGGTCATGCAATGTTGACACTCGAGCATTTACTTTTGGACCAAAGCCTGTGAATGTAGCATGTAGAGAAAGGTTGCTTATGTGCACCGTCTAATCGAAGGGAGCCATTACAATAGTAGTGACCCTGATGATGAGCTTTAAGCTTGAAATCAGGATAGTGAAAACAACAAACTGTGAGTAAGAACTATTCAAAAAGACTACTTTTGTGTCGAAATTTGTTTGTCTGGCATGCAGAGAAATGTTGCTTGGTATGTTCCACCTAATTAAGGATGCAATTACAATAGTAATTGTACCTGATATGAGTATCGTTTTTAAGTACGGCAGTCTGGGTACTTTGTTTTCATTTTTTGTGGATCGAGAGGGTGATGGATATATGCCTCCTGGAGGATCTTAATCATAGAAAAGGGATTAGACCATGTGAGGTTGAGTGACCCTGTGAATATAGCATGGAGGCTTGATGTGTCCCACCAAATTGAAGGGTGCCATTGCATATAGTAATGCACCAGATATGAGTACCATTTTTAATAATGGCAGTGAGTCTTTGGGACATCTGTTTTGATTTTTTGTGATTCAAGATTATGATCGATATGTGGCTCCTGGAAGATCGTAATAGTAGAAGAGGGATTAGGCCATGTGAGGTTGACACTTACTTTTTGGCCAATGCCAGCATACGTGTCTGGCATGTACAGAAAGGTTACTCACTGTGTCCTACCTAATTGAAGTATGGTCTTTGTTTATTTAATAAATCGCATATTTAACATGTTAAACCAAAAACAAATATTTTGAAATCAAAGCCTACATTATTTACATAACCCAAAAAAATGTGAAGAGTATATTCTGTGCTTGGTATGAAATAGTTATTTAGTATGAATTATTTCTGTACTTCAAAAATGTTGTTCCTCTTTTTATAAAGACATCCACAATGATAATTGTGAGACACCAATGAGGATGAAACTGATAATTTAGTTGAGTTAGCTTGATCCTGTAAAAGGAAGCAAAAATAACATAATTTCAAAATTCCAAAACATGTCTGACAGACCAAAAGGATGAACATTCATCATTCTGAAAATTCAAATCTTTTACAATTGTTTCAAATTGGTGATCCTTAGCTGTTAACATTTTATGATAATTCACCTAAGATATAAATGCTTCATAAAATGAATTAAAATAATACAAAGGAAAAAGGACAAAAATGCATACAGTTTTATAGATAAAATAAATAAATAAAATGTTTTGGCCAGTCAGCAAAAAAAGAGGCAGTAATTATTCATTTCATTTCATTGTAATTAAATGTTGATGAAATCTATGTCAAATTTTATCTACTGACTGCGCCAGTTACAAGATTAAACATTACATCTACTAATTAAAATTAGAAAATCCCACTAATATGCAAAATGTAGAATACCATAGAATTTTAAAGATTGCATAATCAAAATAATCAAATACGTAATCAAATGGTAAATTATTTCAAAGTAAATAAATTGTATGCAAGTACACAAAGCAAAACGTTTACAATTTATGAACGTGTTATTTGATGGTGTTTCTGTGAAAGTGGCAAAACGGACCAAACTGAGGATAGGTAGACCAAAATGATCATAAACGACCAAACTGCAGGTTCATCAGCAGACCCGATTGAGAAATCTCACAAAAAAAAAAACAAAAAAAAAACGAATGAACATTTTGAACTTGCAAAGTCACAAAACAGTATAGCTTTAGAAAACATGTAACATTAATGAGTTTTATAGTTATCTATAATTAGCTAACCACAAACTTTCCTGGGTGTAAAATAATATATTGAAGATAAAAAAATTCGATTAGTATTGTAGTGACCCAGAAGAAACACAAATAACTAATTTTGAAACTTAAGTTAGCAAGGTAATAAAACAGTTCAAAGTTTAAAATAATTTTGAAAAAAGAAGATCATGCTAGAGATCAAAGAATCAAAGTCCAACTTTATTTACTGTCTGGAGCGTTGTCAAAATCAAACAATTAACAATAATACAAAGAAAAATTAGAAAACACTATTATTCATTTTGATTGATGCTAGTACAAATAATAAACTGTTACCTCAATAGAATGTGGATCAAGTTTATAATTGAGGCTAGCAAAATGATAACACTTCTCTAAAATAAAACTAAAATTCCTTTATTAACTATTTAAACTGTTTCTGAAGAATTGCAAGCTTTCAAAAAGAAATCTTTATTCAGAAAAAAAAGAGGAATAAAATTGCAACATTAAAGAACTGTCAATACAACTTAGTTATTTTCACATGGTGAACTTTTTTCGCTCTAGACGTAATTGACATTTGAAGATAACAAATTGATGAAATACTAAACGTGTGACATGGCATAAAATGCACTAATAAGAAGGCTAATGTGATTATTAAAATATTATTTATTTTGATACCATTTTATAGTTGAAAAACAAATGTATGAATAATTAAAATGCTATCTGCTCTGAATGACTAATAAACTTAAAAATGATAAATTTTTCAAATTGTATACTGAAAAACAATAATTATAGAAAAAGCTATGCAGACAATAATTTGTACATTATTAATAAAAATGGTAATTTTTTAGAGTACAGACATAAAGTAACGTTAATTAATCCAAAACGATAGTCATTTGGTCTAATTTTTGTAATATTCACCAATAAGTTTATTCACATTTTCTGTTAAAAGAAAAATGGGGGCAAAAATGAGATGTTTGTTTTGTTTTTCTTAGGAAGATAATATTGGAGTACTCTGTCGGGAAATACTGGACAAATGGGCTGAAACACAGGGTTCGAAAGCCGAAGAAACCCCGGTTAATAAAGCCACAAGTGAAGACGTGGAAGAACAATTGGTAAAACTTCTCGAAAAGAACACTCTTTGTACGACAGTTCAAAGGGAATACACTGAAGATGAACGTAAACTTCGAGAAGCCATTCTTGCACAATATTCACAGGTAAGATTAAAACAGTTATTAAAATGCCAAGCAACGTAAAAAAAAAATTTCCTTTAGACTTCAGTCCAAGAAGAAGCTGAAGAAGAAGACGGTGATGATGAAGGAAAAGAAAATGGACTGGTTAAAAATACAAATTTGCATTCTGTAATCCAAGCGAAGAAAGAACAAAGGGAAAAGGCGAAAATTGACAGTCAGAAGAAAAAAGAAAAGGACCGAGAAGATAGGTATGTTATATTTAATAGGAGAATTCTGTTTGGGCTAAACAGTGAGTATTTGAGTCCACAATTTTTGAAGGAAACTGATTGATATTTTGTACTTGTAAATAGGAAAAAATGTGTTACGACTGAATGAAAGTTTGAGAGTCTAGGTTTAAAAACTTGGCTGAAATGACTTAGCTGTTGATAACCCCTAGAGCTCAACCTCAGTGACGGGACGGTTAAGACTGAGATCTGACCCCAGACTGCCAAACCCTGGCGTAAGAGATTCTCATAACCTTAATTCTGTTCATAAGCCTAGCTGAGCTGTTGTAAATCAATCAATTAATTTAAAAAATCTTGTGAACTCCCCTAATCTGCTAAAACTTTTTTTTTTACTTTATTTAACAGGAGAACGCAGTGATATAGAGTTTAGGGTGTCTGACTCATATTTATTTGCCCTAATTCTGGATTCGAATCCAGGCTTTTTAATTGAGAATATTATTAAAAATGTTTGACCCCCTTGCCTGCAAAACCCAACAATTAGTTGGATGTTAAGCCCTCCTGTATGAAAGGAATTACTTTACTATACTTTACTTTTATAAGACTAAGACATACCACAATGAGTGTACAAACAACAAACACGATGAAACGAGAAAGGCTAGAAAGTTGAGTGCTTGTTTCACGGTATTTGTGAAAGTACAAAAAGTGCTGCACCTGTTGATGTGTTACTAATAAATTATTTTGTTTTGAATTTTGACATTCTTTCTTCATCTTTTAGAGAGAGACAGAAACAGCAGGCTGCAGAAAAAAAAGAAAAAAGGAAAACACAAAAGGGCGAACGCAGAAGATAGCAAATCATGTTGAGTGCTTAGTATTCTTAATAATAAAAGTATTGTTAAATGAAATCTGATCTGGTATCTGATAGGAACTCATTGAAAACAAAATTATTTTTTAGTATAAAACAAGAAATGCTCTTGTTCATGCTCCAATAAATGCGCTTTATTTTTGTGACTTTTTTTGTGCAAAATACTGCTTTTACTAATTTTGAAATTTTCAAGTTTAAATGGTTTACTTTTTGCTTTTAAGCGTTTTTTGTTTTTATTCTAATGGATGGTGAAAATTTTTCATTCTTTGAATGTTCAATTTTTATAATTTACACACCTGTGTTCCTTACTTTTTTTTAAGATCTTTCAAATTGTTTAATATTGATTGCTCTGAAATTTAGATGAGTGTACTGATCAAACAAGAATAAGATAATAAAATTATTTAGTCAATGTGTGCACTCATAAGTAGGTTAAAAAATTTGTTAGTTAAACTACTTCGATTTTAACGTGATAGTCAAAATGTGTTTTCCTCTTATTTGGAAATAAGAAATAAGTGTAAGATAAGACTGCAAAAACTATATATATTTAAAAAAAAATTCTAAGTTTTAATGACGCCATTTTTTCTTCAAATAAATCATTGTCTTTTTGCCTATTAACTCCTAAATTGTTCATTTTGAAATAGTTTTACCAATCACACATGGATATTGTTGATATTTTTGTCGGAAAATAGTGTAGATAGAAGGAATGTGATGTTTTGTTTATCTTTATTTGGTTTGTTACAATTTTTTGTTCCAAAGAAAATTATAGTTGTGAAAATAAATATTATTAAAAAAGTCAATATCTTTTTAAAAAAAGTGTTTTTCCTGATTTTTGCCATTTCCTTTACTTTTTAAGTAAATAAATGTTTTCTTGTTATTTGTTTATTGCTATCTGTACCAAAAAATGATATGTTCATCCGTCAGATCAAGAAGCGGTGGGGACATCCAGTGTTGCAACTAACTAACCCACTTTTATTTATTGGATACCGGGATAGGGTCAAGTTACGATGTTGGATTAAACAGTGTGGAAGGTGACGGGTGGGATGTCAAGGGAACAGCTTGGGCTAGTGGATTAGGTGCTCCATAATTGGGATATTTAGGTCTTTTGAAATTTTGAACGTAGTTGGTATAAATAAAAGTAGTAAGAGTGATTCAAAGCGAACATTTTGAAATTCAATGCATAGTAGAAAATAAATCAGGCTGGGGAGCGTCACGTAGCAGTCGAGTCTGTAGGCAGGGGAAAGAACCGAAAAGGTTACAAATTAAGGGTAAATAAAATAAATCAAAATTTTACAATTTTTTTATTATTTTAAATATTTTTTCTTTACATTAACATAGGCTATGCACATAAAAATTTATTTAATTAAGCTAAACAAATCTCTTCATTTATTTAATTATAAATTTTCTATATATATAAATAAGAATGATCAGTTAAGGTTTTTTTTGTTTTAAAATGTTTTTACAATAAAGCGCAGTTCCTATTGGTGTCTCATTCATACAAAAATTGTATTCAGTCAGTTCATTTAGACTTCCGTCCCAGGCCCTTTTGATTTCCTTAGAGTGCATTCAGTAGTCCCTCTTGATGTGTCAATCTGTTAAAATAAATCATTGTTATTTCAAAAAATCAAGACAATTTTTTAAAGTTGTAATATCAAAAAAATTATCTAAAATTAATCAACTAAACTAAAAAGCTAAAGCTGTTTTGTTAAAAGGACAAATACAGGACAAATGCTATGAACTTTTGACAATTTTTTTTTCTCATCTTCAGGTCTTATTTTATATTAATATCAGACACAAAATAATATTATTTGTAAACACCAAATTTGAAAACAACAATGACAAAACATTTAAACACAATACCCAACCTTAAACTAAACCTTATAAAATATTGTACTAAAGATGAAAACAAAATTGTTTTTAAGTTCCACTATGCTAAAACTGTTTTCCCTCTATTAACAAACACAAATACAATACAAACTTAAGTTTTATACAATAAAATCACACCAGTGTACAAACAGCTGAAAAGATCTTACGGTAAATTTTGATAATATCCAAGGAAAATTATCCTTGACTCGCATGCACGTCAAATACTGACTTATAAGAATAAAAAATTGTGCCTCAGTTCAATCTTATAAGTACCATATAAAAATTGTAGCTTGATTAACTCCGATCGTTTGCATATTCTCACTGGTTTTGTTTATTCATCTTTAGTAGTGGGAAGACATGCATCTGATTGACAAAACCAGTGAGAACTGGCAGACCAGGATGATCAAGCTACAAGTTCACAACTTAACCCACCTCAACACAATATTTCATACATTTTTAGTCATTTCAAAATTGAGCTAAGGCTTGTAATTGAATTTTCAAGTTGTTATTGACAAAATATTGGCAGCATATGCAGTGTAAAACAACTTTTTTTTAAAATGTCTATTTTATGCTTTGGTGTACTGCAATTCTTTTAGATCCATTTATACAATTTATATAATATTCAATGAAACATAATTGGATAATGGTATCTTTATACATACTCTGTTTTATTATAAATATGAAAAAAAACTAAGTAATAACTACACTAAAATTATTATCTTAGAAATCAAATAGTTAACAATTAATTATAAAGAAAAAATTTAAGTTTATAAAATATTAAGCCAAACATAATTAGCGTGCTGAAATGTTTAAAAGGGTGTTTGAAGGAGTAATTTTAAAATGCAGTTTGTTCAATTAAAAAAAATATAAGTAATCAATATTTTTATTCACTTTGCTATAAATAAAATCAATATGTAAAGTGCACAGACATAAAATCTTATCTTATTTTTTTTTAGAACTATTAAAAAATGAATCTGATAAGCAGACTATTAAAGCCATGGTGACATGCAGGCAATAATATGAAATTGTAATATTGACAAGGGGGGGGGCTATGGACATGGGATCGCCGATTTTAAAGTAAATTTTTTTGGCGACACTAGAATGAAAAATACTAGACGTGTTCTGAGCGTTCTTGCAAATGTGCAAAAAGTTCCTTTCCTTTTATGCTTTTCAAGATTATTATATATATATATATATATATATATATATTTATGTTTACCTAGGTTAAGTTAATAATAAGGAGGGTTGTATTAAATAAGGCAAGATACTAAAAAGTTACCCAATTTGCTATATTGCTCAGCCACAAATTTATATTATTTCAATTATCTATGGCTAACTGTCAAAGTTTTTTGCACCCCCAAAATCCCTGAATACAAATTTTTTTAATTTTTTGCACCCCCAAAATCCCTGAATACAAATTTTTTAAATTTTTTGCACCCCCAAAATCCCTGAATACAAATTTTTTTAAAAATCAAAACAATTTTTATTTAATAATTTTTCACCTTCCAAATATGATGTTTTAAAAATCAAAAATCACAAAAATGGTGATAACATAAAAACGACTCCACCGATCCACCAGAAACATAACAATAGGGCCTTGTAAATTACACGTGATGGCTCAAATATGCCTCCGTAAATAAATTAGAACCGGAAAGATAAAACATTTCAGCAGTGTTTTTTTCCTCCCAATGACTATTGAAACTTTGCTGACATCTGAAAGAAGAAATATTCTGCTTTTCAACAGTATAAAAAACATATTTTGCATAAAATTCAGAGGAATCATTAATTTTTAAGTGAAACACTGGAGATTGGCAGAAAAAATTGCCTCATGAATCCACAAAAAAAAAAGAAAAAAAAATTTCTTTCACAATAAAAATTCATATTTCAGGATTTTAAGGAATACTTTAAGTGAATTGGAAGTTTTTTCATCAAAAATGTTTTTTGGCCTACTTAACTAACAGTGTGCATTGATTTTTGTAACTTTTTATACCTAACCTCATTGAATACGATCCTGCTTATTATTTTCTTATACTAGAAAAAAAAATTCAGTGATATAAATAGCCTTGAAATTCATGCACAACAAAAAGGCAGTAACAGTTAGACAAGTCTAATATTTTGCAATCAAGTATCACCTAAAGAAATATTTAATAAATTTGGTGAATCCATGTCCATTGCTGTCCTTTGTGAGAAAAATGTCATGCTCTATAGCTATAATTATTTCAGTTCAATCAAACTAATATTTTAGTTCAATCCTTAATTTTTTTAATATATACAATTTAAATTTAAGTGATTATTATTAAAACATAAAAACTAACTAGAGACAGATAAATATTGTTTGTGCAATTTGTTTTAAAGATCTTACAAGCTGACAGAGTAAACCTTGAAACTGAAGAGAAGTGAGCCAACAGTGCCTTTGATTTTTGTTTTAGCCCCTTGGTTTGTTTTGATTTAATATAAGCGGTCTAACACTACTTACAAAGTTTTTTGCTTTATGTTTCACACTTTTTTTCAGGTGCAGGTTCACTGCCCACCTTGATTGTTATGGGCTCTAGTTCTTCTTCTTCCTCCGCCATTGTAGATAATCGGACCTTTTCTTCATCGGTTATCGCGTCTTTTTGCTTCCCTCTCTTGATAACTTTCATTCTGCGTCGCAAAGAAAATTTCTCTTCGAGTCTTTTCAGTTATATTATTGCATTTGAACTTACACATTTTTCCCAGGGCTTTTCTTCTTTTCTTTTTCGTTGTTCACCTGCTTCCATATCCCGGTTTTATTCATCTCCTCCGAAATGTTAATGGATGTTAGGGGGATTTTCATTATGTTGCCGTTGGGGAGGGGGATCTGCAAATTTTCAGGCTGCAATTCTTTATCCTGAAAAAAGTTCAAACTTGTTGAAAAATCATAAAATAATAAGACTTTTATTTGTTTAATCATTTAAAATAATTGTTTTTATATACCTCATTTCCTAGAGATTCTTCATCTTCTTCATTACGTTTTGTTGTCTCCGGCATGACATCATCCAAAATCTTGAGTTCCCTCTGAGTAAAAATTAAGTCCAAGCTTTTACGAATTCCGATCATCACAACAAGCTAAAAATAATTTATTTTATTTTAACAAAAGATAAAAGAAATAAAATAAACATTTCTTTTGTACCATAAGTGGAAACAATATTGAAGTAGAGCTGAATGATTTTATTAGCCACAACATTATAAGACAACCTAGTTGGATAATTGTGAAAAGATGTACTCTTCTTATAGGCACCTAAAAAATAAATATAATAAATGATCAATTATAAAACAAACAAAAATCCTAGAATAAAATTGATCAAACCTGTCTAAGGAACATGTAATCTGGCTGATATTTAGCAGGCATCAGCATGATGAGTAATCTATCAAAAAATTGCAGTCCTTTGAGAGAAGCGACACCCATGTAAAGGAAGACACCGAACAACACAGGCATAGGGATATTACGTAATATTGGCGTTATTAAAACTGACATGCCAATCATTAAAAATATGAGTATATGGGTTACACGTTGTTCCCTGCAATGATAATTTTATGGATGTTAAACAATAAAATTATGTATCTTTAAACACGACAAATTCTGTATTGTATATTTTACTAGCTTTAGATAAAATTTACCTGACACCTAAAAACTGTGGTTTTTCTCCAGGGGCAGCACATTCAGATTCGAGTTTAAGAGAATTAACATGGTTGATTGAAAGGACGGTGGCAGCCACAAACCAAGGGAGTCCCATAACTGAGCAAATTACGATTAGAATGGCTAAGACGAATAAATCTAGATGGTATCCACACCCTTTCTAAAAAATTTAAAAACACGAGCCATAAGTTCTGCCCGGTTAGGATTCAATTTACAAATTACCTTCAGTTTATTTTCTTTCCTGTTCACAATAACAGCAGTGATCTGTTGGTCCATGAATATTAGGATTGTTCCTAGAAGAGCCGGTAGAATTGCCAAAGGTATGGTCCACCAGTAGTTTAAAAACGGTGAAATTACCCAGCCTCGTCCAGGGAGGGTCGGCTTGAATTCACTTGGCACCTGCATCAGAATTTTTTTAGAAACAAGCAATTACAAATATTAGATCATGAATTAAATGTATTTGACAAACACTTCTATTCCAATATAAATACACTGTTACAATTAAAGTAATAAGTTTATAATAAAATTTTATTTTACTAAGTACTGTCATGCCTATAATACGGATGTAAACTTTTTTTTAAATAAAAATTGATTATGAAATATTAAATACCTCTAATTTTGGAGTAGGTAAATTCATTTTATAATCCAACCAAGTCATTGAGAAGATAGCAATAATTACTGCAAAATCGCTGATGAATTGCCTAACCTGAAAACGCTTTATTTAGTATGGTTTTTTTAATCTACAAGAATATCATTATTAGTTAAGAGCAAGTAAACTGAGTCAGAACATAAAAGTTGTGTAATATATAAATGTAATTTGTACATAAAATATTTGTCAAACTATGATCCTGAAAATGTTTTTGATTACATAAAGCTACTGTTTTTACAGCTTTATGTATCAAATTGTTGGTTTATTTGTTTGACAGTGAAAAATTAAAAAGCGAAAGAAAGTTTTACAGTAAGCCAATATAACATCACAACATAAAATAACAAAAGAAAAATTTAGAAGAAAACAACATAATCCATTTTTTTAAAATAAATTTGTGAGCGAGAAGATATTCCTACTTTGCTAAATTTTTTGTTATTAAATTATTTTATCATACAGTGTTCAAATTGTGTGGATGAATTAAAAAAAAATAAAAATAAATACTCTCACCTTAGATGGGAAGAATGAAGCATTTTTAAAATCTTTGAGATGTATCGATAAAAGGAATGTTCCAAAAAATAATACTAGTGACATCAAAAATACATCAGGAACATACTCTTTTTCACAAGTGCCGACAAGTATGCCTGAGTTATTCTAAAACATCAAATTTCCGCATAGTCCAAACATGTAAAAATGAAATTATCAATGATCGGAAGACATGGTCACTTACCAGACATTCGTTAATTCCAAATTCTTCCGGTATGCATGAACAGTTTCTGTAGCCAGTCGTATTTAACGGAAACCTGGTTCCGATTTGAAATACATTCTCAAAAGCCTGTACAAGTCAATATATTCTTTATTTGTTCAAAATCCCAATTACTGAAAACAATACCTTTATTATAAATATAAAAGCAATAAGTGTTGCAAAATTTTCTTCGGTGAATCTTGTGATGTAACAGACCAAAGCACTGGCATCGATGGCCACTAGAATAAACAAAATGACACCAATCCAAAGCCCTATCCAAAGCCTAAACGACATGTAATCCCAACCCTGATCCCTGAAAAATTTATTTATTTGCAAATATAAGTTTAAACATTTTTCAACTATTTGTAAAGTATATCTTACTTGCAAAATTCAAAAACGATCGTTTCAAAAACAAGAACAGGACCAGTTGAGCCTAGAATCGTCAAAGGTTGGCCACTAAAAAATCCATAGCCAATACCACAAACAAAACCAGAAATTAGGGATTCCATAGCAGCCATATTTTTTCCAGTAGCTTCTGAGAGAAGACCACCGAAGGTGATGATCGGTGATAAACAGGCAAAGTAGAGGAAAATCCATGATGCAATGCACTGGACTGCTAATGCATCCTTAAAATCTGATATATACCTGTAGATAAATATTTAAAAAATATAATCATGCTATAAGGTAGCGCATTTCTAAATTTACTTACCAAGGAAGTTTCCTCTTAATGTCATTCACAAGTCCACCAAATAATCTCCCTGTTCTACTTAGGCCGGATTCTTCTCGAAGCTTTTGCTCTTCTTTCTCTGGGTCCATTTCTTCTTTTGGCTTTTCTGGAGGCTTTCTCCTGTTATCCTGTGTGATATTTTAAGAGTTTAAGTTTCATTTCATGGGCACGACCATTAACAGCCTACCTGAGACGGGATTGCTGCTGGAGGTTCTATTCTAATCGCTGGGTCCCATTCTCCTGGAGGCAAGACAGTAACGGCATCTAGAAATTCATCAACTGCGGCTAGAAGATGGTTGCGATTTCGAGCTCTGTATGCAACTTCATGGAATACCTCGTCAGACATGAGAGTGGCCATCGCTCGGCCAATTTCATGAAAACTTGAAATTCCTCCCTTAAAAATTTGATAAGGTCATATAATAAAAATTATGAACTCTGAAACAATTTTGTTCAACACACTGACTGAGAAATTTCAAAATACAAACACATTTTGGGTTGATATAGAGCCAAAATCTTTATATAAAATAGCTCGTACTTTACAGATTTAGCGTCTTATGGCTGGTGATGAAACAACCCCCTAATTTAAATGCTATAGTGATAATAACTTTAAAATTGATCATAAATGGACTCCAGGGTATGAATCGAGAGTATTCCGCAGACAATGTGTTAAAAGAATAATTTTTTAATATATTACCAAAGGTCCTAAAAGTACAAATAAAAACCTAGTTGGCACAGGTACTTCAGTAAGGTCTCCGAAATAAGTCCCCTGGTTAAGCCTTATAAATGCAGACAGAGGCTTATCCAAGAAATCTACTTCTCCTACAAGAATATTAGAAGCTTCCGCTCCTGGTGGAATTTTTCTCATAAAATGAAGGTTTGCCTGTAAAATTATACATTAAAATAACTAAATAATAATGGATTAAATAAAAAAAATATTATCAAACCTTGTGGTCTCCATTTAAATCACTTGAACTGTAATTCCTTGACATGGAAACAGCACTCGGACTTCTTTCCATTCCTTCTATTTGAGGCCCACCTAGAATTCGATAAAGGTAGCATTATTGAAAGTGTATAGCATTTAATGTATTGACTACTTTCAAATTAAACTGGTTAAGAACCTAATAAATGAGCGTTGAAAATAACAGTAATGCTAAATGCTTTAACATCAATATGCAACATTTATAATACGAGCATTAATATTTATACCAAGCAGCACATGCACCGTGGTTCTGTTCTTATTTTATTCTATCACCAATTAAATTTATTACCAAATTTTGATGGTTTTTAAAATTCATGTTGTATAAACTTGAAGAGAGAAAAACATTATCGTTTTGCTGGCACATAATTTTATGTTTAGAAACCAAATCGTAATACAATATTCTTCCATTTTAACAAGTTGTAGATATTAACAATTGTAAAATGCTGATGACACTCCTTCATCCTCTTGTGAACACTGTCTTAATTTATTTGCAATATGTGATGTTTGTTTTCTGAATACCCTTGCTTTTTATTTATAAAAACATTACAGATTCTTTTTGAGTTCAAAGCGATAAAAATGCTTTTTCATTGTAAATAATTTCGAGCAAGTTGAATTTAAACATGCAATCTTCTAATTGGACAACTGTTCATCTGAATTGAAACATTTAACATTTTTATACAATGCCATTTTATTGTAAAACCAGTGCTACATTATTCAATTTTTTTAAATGGTAAAAAATTATTTATATTTCAGCTAAACTGAAATATTACATAAGTAATGCTTTACACGAGACATGTTTTCCAAAATGTTTGTAACACAAAAATAAATAGTAATTAGTCTAATAAATTATCAAGTTAGTACGATTATAATTTGTTTAGCTGTCTAAGTATAAGCATTAAAATGAATCCACCTTCTAAAATAAATAAAAATGATTTATTATGACTATATACACAAAAACCAGTAAATAATATCTAATATTGAACTATAAAAAAATAAATATGTAATATGTACATTGTGCACTACACCGCATGCTAATACAGGAAGCATTCTTTATATAAGTTGATGGAGTCAACAGTTTCAAGGTCTGTACGCAGGGTAATTGTACTAATATATTCCCTGGGTAAAACATCGCACCACTATGGACCCAAAAAATATGTTAACAAATAATAACAAGGTGACCATACGAGGATATTTCAAACATATTTTCTGGAAGATTACATTCGCATACCTGTACGTCTAATGATCTATTAAAATAAAACAGGAGTAAGAGATTTATAAGGTAGAGAAAAAATGGTACTTAAAAGTGAAGTAAGAAAAAAAAATTCATGAGCAAGACATTTTAAGCAGAATTTAATCAGAATTTTGAAAGTTTTACAATATATCGGGAAAAAATTCACTTACTTTCAATTCTTTATGAAAAAATTCCAGGTATGGTCATCTCATTAACAAAATTGTTACAATGAATATTCAAGCTCAACCCTTGAGTTCTGTCAATGACTTTTATTGAACCTTTTGAAATTATGCCTTAAATACAATTTCGGCCATAACTAAAAAAACAAAAACGATAAAGAAATTAAAACTACTAAGATCCAGGTGTTGTTTTACCAGCTCCAGGAATTGACAAGAACTTCCCCGCCTCTGGCTTGGCAGCTCCTGCTGACAGCGCCTGCTGTTGTTGCTCTTCAACTAGAGAACAATACTTGTCAGAGACAGGAGTGGAAGACAGTTACAGTGGAAGAACTTAGTTTTGGTTTTGTGGTTTTGTTTATAAATGCTTGAAAATTATCAATGGGTTCTGTACGCTTCCAAAATATTTCTTATTGATTACACTTTACTTACCTTTTTTATAGGTTAACTCAATTACAATTAATGTAAGATATTAGCAATTTTCCTTGAGTGATTACATTGAAAATAAAGATAAAAGTTATGACTGAACAGCAAAAATGAAACAAACAACATAGTGTTTTAATCAAAAGTGAAAAAAAACCGGGGTCTAAATTGATTTATCATAGTATAATGTCCAAATTTTTATGCGAAAAAGGACTATATAATACACAAAATGTAAATAAGTGATTAATATATATATAATATTCATTAAATCAGACTTTCCAGTGCTGAAAGATGGATTTATTGTGCTGAAAAACAGGGTCATCTACCATTTTGAAACAAACATGCAACAAAAATGCATCTTTGTGAATATAGTTTCAATGAAATTTAATTAATAATTGTAATATTTTGTTTTCAACTCATGCTAGATATTGAAATGAAACTATTTTTAAAATAATATATGATCTTAGAGATGAGATAGAGGAGATAAATGTATGTTTGTTTTAATTTGATTGATGGTATTTACATTGAAATAGATAACACTTAGAATCGAGAAAAGAATGTTATGCAAAAATGATATTCGACCCTTTTAGCTTTTGTGTTATTCGTTTCAAACCTTGAATTATCTGGCACATGGTAAACCATGTTGTGAATCTGACAATATGTGGAAGCTGTTCATCTGAGAAACAGATTTTTATTTAAATTAAGTCTAAATTTTCAATATTTATTTATTTGTAATTGAACAAGTACTGTTTTGGTATTTGGTGGGTTGAAGTAAATGAGTAAACCCCTTACTTTTTGAAGAGGAATGATTCCTGCCGATGTCAGCCAGAGACCTAATGATAGGAAGACGAGACATCTGACTGTCTTTTCTCCTTTCGTGCTGATGCCTATGTCTCCTCAAAATTGATTCTCTGACCTATAAAAATATTTTTAGTTAAAAAATTATTATTATTATTATTATTATTTTTTTGTAGTTTTGACAATATGCATTTGTCAAATTCTTGCCTTTTCTCGAGTGTCAAATGTGACTGTGCCGGCATTAACCATATTATCTAAGAACAGATCAGCCACTTGCTCTAAACTTTGTGCTTCCATATCAAGAAGTACAGTTCCGTTTAAAAGAAGGCTCCTAAGCTCAAATAATGAGTGGAGGGACAAAGTCGCAACATGTGGCTTTGACCACCTATTTCCACCCTCTTCCACATCTTCTTCAAACTTAATCCACCTATTGTTAAAACCAAACGGTCAAATTGATTCGGTTTAAATAAAGATTTATTGTCGTAAACAATTACCTAGCTGTTTCCTTCCATTCGGGCACATCTCCTTCTCCCATGACGAGTTCTTCCATTTCAGAGAAAAGTGGGTGTGACTCGTGAGTGTTATCATCTGCATCTTCGCCAAGAATGAACTGAACCCTTTGAGCTGGAGGAGTAACTGAAAGAAAAAGTTAACAATTTAGGCTCAACTAATTTCAATACAATTAAGGTTTTTAGTTGAGATGAAAAAAAGTTAATGGCAAGAGAGGGATTCGAACCCACGACCTTCGGCTAGATACGCCGCTGCTCTACCACCTGAGCTATCGTGACCTCGATCCACTCGAACATCAACTCCCCATCTCAACCCCACCTTATGAGTTTTCCCTCCTTTAATTGGTCAAGCGGACCACGAAATTAGTGAATTTAATTTCAATATGTTATATAATTTTAACAGCAAAAACAAAAAAATAGTACTAAATTAAATAACTAAGGGAAATCAATTTTAATTGCTATTTGGTCGATTTTGTGAATGATATAGGTGTAACCAATTCTGTGAGTGGATTAAATAAAGCAGGAGTCAATTTATGACCATTATTACAAAATAATAGTAAGCCAAAGACTACATTCTATTTTATTTATCAAATTAGCAATAAATTTCTATCACACTTTTATTAGAACATTGACAGGACTTTTTTCCTTGACAAAATAAAACAAACTTAATTTTCCCTTTGTTCAAAATCTTAAGATAGAATAAAGTGTACTACACAATTTTTTAAAAATGATTGTATGAATATATTTTGGTTTTCGTAACGTTCATTAAAGTAACATTCTTCTTCTCTAAAGTGCAACAATTCTACATATAAAAAATTATGTATAAAAGTTTAGACTGCTTCAACCAAAAAAAGTAAATATTTTGAAAAGCACACATGCACAACTGCTTAAGTATGTCAATCATGCATTTACGAACTCAAGATTTTGTAAAATGCGATCAATAGAAACCTTCCAATGTACATTAAAACAGAAAAGCCCCAATTATTTAAAATAATTAGTCAACTTTTGCTTCATTTAATTGAAACAAACCAAAGATGAGTGAATACTGAATGATCATTAACGAAATAATTAACTTTAGTCAAAATTTGTGAAAGTGCTTGTTAAAAATTTTTCACTTTTTCACACAGCTAAAGATAAATCGCATCATTAAAATAATCAGCTTCATTTTATATTTGAAAAAAAAAGGAGTTTTTGACAGAAATAAATAAATTCCAAGAATTTAAAATTAATAAGCAATAGTTTTGCTAGCTAATGCGAAACGGGATTCAAAGAATGATTTAGGTTTTCATTAAGAAAAAATTCACTCCATGATTTTTACTGAAGAATTGCTGGACCTTTCAAGTTTCACGTCTATTTATGTGTTGACCGGATCGAGAAAACTCATAACAAAAGAAATCCAATTTGTATGCCACGGCTATTGGATGTAACGTGAAAAGAGTTCAATTATGAAGAAGATTGAATAAGTTTTCTTCAAAAGTTACAATACCCATCGAATTACCTTCATTTAAATAAAACCCCGATATAGACTGAACTTTATTTAAAAACTCATTGCAAAAAGTATTAATTGGTTCGGCCGAATTGGCAATCTATGATCACAGATTACAATTAACGATAAAAATTAAAAAGGGAATTGACTTTTACCGTCCCACTTAAATCCAAGGGTGAAAATACTTATCGATCGATAACGAAATTTAAAAAAAAGCAACAAGCCATTTTATCAAATTGACCAAAATGCAAGCATTCACAATACATCAGATGGAGAAAAACGCCTCGCACTTTTAATTATTGAAACATTTGACTTTTTTGAGCAGATTGAAATATATATATTGAAAATTATTATTGCTAAATTGTAAAATGTAATATTCAAGATGATGCTATCGATTGTGACTTGACACTTTGGACGTCGTGTAGTGCAATGCGTACCATTTTCTTAAAAAAAAAAATCATATTGTGTTTTTTATCTATTTGTCCTATAAGCGTGTACCTATTGATATGTAGTTGCCTGTTTTATATATTTCGTCGCAGCTTGACACACTTTGACACTGACATTTTAATAGTAATTGTCTGGTTCGAAACTGATCCTCGGTCCTAGACCTACAGGGTACCAGGACGGATTTCTCGTGTTTTTTTTTTTAATTATTGTCAGAATGGTTAGAAAAAGCAAAAATTAAAACATTAATGTTAATAAATAATAAAACGAAGACGCAATTTATCATAAAAGGTCAACCTCTATCACGAAGGTGAATTTAGCCTTTGGCGATAAAAAAAAAAAATGCAGATGAAGGCATGTTGGATTTATTTTTTTGCCACTGAAGTCTCAACAGGGGCCATTTGAGAAGATACGCCTAACATGCCCCTGTTTACATAGGTCGAGATTGATATCAAATCCTGACTAAGATTTATGTACAAAATGCGATACGACCTAATATGGATGATGGAAAGGACGATTGGCCGGTCGAATCGATTCTTTTCTAATGGCGATTTTCCCCTCTTTCCTAACATTTGATATTTTGTATAAGACCGGTCTCGAGGTAATATCACGCCTTCTAATTAAATGGTATGATTTTAATATTATATTAAATCGTGAGCAGTAGGTCAAGGTGTGTCGGTAGCTGCGAAACTTACATATCTCTCCGTCTTGAGAAATGCTAAACCTTCTGCTCGGCCTCCTTCCTTTTGTCAGACCTAAAATAGCTGAAAAACAACGTACCATTTGCCCAATTGTAATAGACCGAGGGAGCGTAAAATGTAATGTATTCGAATGAGATAAGTTGTTGGTTTGCACTGATTGAATCTATTATATTTATATTTTTTTTAAAGAAAATCGAATCAAATTGGATGACGAATTAAAAAAGAATTCTGATAAGAATCCACAGAGCTTTTGTGATGAAATCAAATAAAACAACTGTCCTCTTGAGTAATACGTGACACTTTATATTCACAAAGTATACAGGATGTCACTATTGCGACACCTACTTTTCTCGAAAACGAAAGATTAAAGAAAAAAAAGTTAAATGGTAACCCCATCATAGTTTTTCCCGAGTGGTCCAAAAAATTATTTTTAAATGTCACAGTAATAGGTAATTACGTACCAACTTTATTTTTTTAAATTGGACTAACACCAAGTTAATAAATTAGATTTTTTAGTACAAAAAATGACACCAAAACCACGCCGGAATATCGAGTACTTTGGGGGAGTGAATGTGACCAGACTTCTATATTTATTAATCTATTAGATTTCTTAGCCGATTGACCAGATAACTTATTTCAATAAATTAATTTTTATGTAAGGTATTGGTTGAGATAAAAAAGCCAACGTCACGAGTGGGATTCGAAACCACGACCTTCGGCTAAATACGCACGCCGCTGCTTTACCACTTGAGCTATATTTATACTGCGTAGTAATGTATATATGTATTGTATATTTTGTGTCTGTTCTATAGTTGACAACCCGGGGTAGAAACGAGAGGCTAGCATTGTAGGATATTGACGTAGTATACATATAAAAGAAGTCAGTAAATAGATCGAGACGCTCAAATGGCTGCAGTTTAAACACAATACGCATGAAAGACCAGAAAAGTAGGAAACACGCAGACAACCAGGGATGGCCTTAGCTGTTTGACGGCTCATAGATGGAACTCTTTATATATGACAGCAAAAATATATAGATTGGTTTTTATAATGTCCAGTAATTACTCGATTCAAAAGGTCTGCGGAAAACAGACTATGAAACTATTCCATATTCTCTGGACTAATGAGTCCAAATTTATAGAATTTAACAGCTTAAAGTGAAAAAAGGTGGATAATACCAATAGACCTAACTATAACTTTGAAAGTATGAAATGAATTGAAATATTTTCAGAAAGACGCAAACACCCTAATGTTCTTGTTGATTATTTGGAGATCGCGAGATGCGGTCTGGTGTGACGTAGGTTTTAGAAAAGCATTCTCTTTATCGTGCCAACGTTTCGATCTTTATTGAGATCATCTTCAGGGCATGGGAATTATAAGCATTTTAATTTAAATTTTTAAATTTTTTGTAAAATTTAAACAATGTTTATAAATCCCAGGCCCTGAAGATGATCTCAATAAAGATCGAAACGTTGGCACGATAAACACTTGTTTTTCTCAAACCTACGTCACACCAGACCGCATATCACGACCTACAAATAATCATTAACTAACGGTCACTAAACCACACATTTCTTATGTTCTTGGTAGAATTGTTTTATATTAAAAAAATGTAGGTTTTGAAAATGTATCAAAATTTGTAGGTCACATTTGGGGAAATTAAGTTGATATTCAATTACCTATCACTGTGACATTAAAAAAATGTTTAGACCATTTATTTTAGATTTACTGGAAAACAATTATGGTCTTTACAGTTTAAATTTTTCTTCTATAACTCAACGTTCTTGAGGAAAGTGGGTGCCACATTAAAATAGAAGCACCCTGTATATAATATTATAGAAACCTGGATTCGCTTAGATCTTCAAATAACGGCTCAACTACAATACTTACCTGTTTTTATATAATTCTGAGCGTTTTTTAGTTTATTTAAAACTTGATTGTATTCTGCGATATCTTTTACCTATTAAAATTAATTTTATTGTCTCTTTGTGCTCGTGAAATGTAACAGACAACGTCAGAAACTTTTATCGACCTGTTTAAAACTTAGAAAGTCAGATAATCAGAAAGTTTGACAATTTTGAAATCGACGATGAATAAAATTTAAGGGAGGTATTTTCTTAAGAAAGAACAGCATGAAAGTCAAACTTTCACAACTTCAGAATGTACAAAGGTTAACTTGTATTGCAGCTTGTGTATAAAGGAAACTTTTATTTTCCCTTAGATTAACTTTAAATCGAACGTCACGGCGATTATATCTAACGTGCCAAGGCAATAAGTTTATATGCGCTTTAAATATTTGCTGTTCTAATTAAAAACGCTTTCTATTTTTAGCCTTTAATCATGTAAGCGTAGAAATTCGCTTCTCTCAGAGTTTTGAAAAAAAAAGTGAAGTCTCAAGAGAAGTAATGAATTGCAATGTGTTGAAATGAGTTTATAAAATGTCTCATATCATCACATTCTAGACATGATCCCAGGCTCTTGGAGTTGGCAATTTTC